ACTTTTCGTTGAAGCTCGATTCGGCATTGATTGATCTCGTCCAACGACTTCCAGTTCTTGGCCTCACGCTCTGACATATGCTGGGGTGGCCGAGCTTCTTCCATGGCCTTTCTAATGGCAGTGTATCTTTTGAACAAAGCCTCGTAGATTCGTTGGTCGCTTGGCCAGAGCTTTCGTACGATCACCAAGAGAGGACTGATGCTCGTGGCTTGTGTGGGCAACTTGTCCAAATACATGCTATCCAGATACTCTATGATTTGGGTCGTATCCCGCACCCACTCGAGTGACTCAAAGTCATCTCTTGGAGCATGCAGACTCTTGAAGAGTCGCATCACACGAGCACAATATTGGTCGATAGTGTATGGCTTTCGTGTTGAATCATCAAAAACGTCATGGAGTAGCCGTTCAGCTGACGTCGAGGTTCTTATAACCTTTATGTTGGCATCTAAAGCTGCCATGCCTCAACTATCTGGATAGCAAGAAAAAAAAGATGAACGGCATCTGGCCGCGAAGAGCTCAGATACCGAACATCCGTGTTCATCTTTGTTTTCACCGTTTTGGTGCGCCTAGGAGCTTTTCATGGTTATCTAGCACACAAAAGCTTCTACAACCCGGCCTGGGGGCCTTGATGCCCCTCGGTTATCGGCCGATAACAGAGTATTGTCAGATACCTGAATATGAGTGTACTTAATTTCCAGAACGGTGCCTTTTCAGAGATTCAATTATCTGGGAGAGGAATCCAGCGAAGATTCGGTGGCATCGCGAACCTTGTTGGGATTTGCAAGCGCGTCTAACTCCAAGATTGGTGCGTCACTCCACACCATACTAGGGGCATACCTGGGACTCGATGGAGAACATGCTTCGATACTTGTGCAACCGGTCGGAACAATCGACTCTCGTTCATGAGAGTGCGCCGTGAGCCTTGGTTCTTTCAACCGCAACTTTTTTGTTTGACATTGAGCCCGAGACGCGTTTTTAAGAGCAACCCGCCAGCTCACTTTGACAGCGAATGGCCCATGTATGCCGCTCTGATCCCAAGTTGACAAGAATCCTTCAGCATTTAGGGATCGCACCAGCGCTCTGGTGATATGACGCAGGTTAAACGGTTCTGCAAGAGCGCGGATTCCTGCTAGGGCTGCCGGGTCAATAATCGTTTCGAGCAACCCAAACTCTCTATAAGATCTTACTATCGTGCTCTTGGCACTCTCAAGAACAGCTCGATCCATCTGCTCAATCGCAAAAGTGGTTGGAGAACGATAGCCTAAAATTGCGTCCATTCAAGTCAATGTTTTACGGTGCACCAAGAAAAAAGGAATACACCATTATTAAGGTGTGGTCATCATTAGGTCAGGCTGGCCATCCCGGCCACTTAAAAGCATATGGCAAGCAAGTTTGATGATGCGACGATGCACAGATGGGCAGGTGATTTCAACCCCCCTCTAAAATAATAAAAGTGCCACTCCAGATTTTAATTGATGGCAATCGAATATTGTAATTGATGGAGCGAGTCGACAGGAGGACAGAACGGACAGGAGATTTCCGTGTCCGGGGCCGGCTTGCACTTGTCCATGCCACCTAATATGTTGCAAATATTGTAATTGATGGAACGAGTCGACAGGACGACAGGACGAACAGGAGATGCTCGAGTCTAGGTCCGGCTCCCGATTGACCATACCACCTAATATGAGTCGAATATCATGTAATTCATGGAGCGAGTCGACAGGAGGACAGGACGGACAGCAGATGCTCGTGTCCAAGTCCGGGTCCCGAATGACTATACCACCTAATGTGAATCGAACATTGTAATTCATGGAGCGAGTCAACAGGAGGACAGGACGGACAGGAGATGCTCGTGTCCAAGTCCGGCTTGCACTTGACTGGACCACCGAGATTGTTTGAACATTGTGATCGTGAAACGAATTGAAAGGAGGCCGTATGCTACAACCAATCCGGCTGATCTGTCAGAGTGGCGGCCCGATTTTAGATACATACATATCAACAACCTCGGCCGAGATCCGAAAAGTTTATACTACAATCTGTTATAATTTCTTTCTTCCCCAGGGAAGGAATTATAACAGATTAGTAGTACAAACTTTTCCCTTTGGTTCCGAATTAGCAATATGTATGTATGTAAGGCCATACCGAAAAAGATGCCAATGTTGTAATCGACTTTTTGGAGAAGAAAATATAACAAATTAGTAGTATGAAGTTTTCCTTGTGGGATCCAATTGCCGATATGTATGTATGTAAAGCCATACCGGAAAAGATGCAATGTTGTACTTGACTTTTCGGAGAAGAGAATATAACAGATTAGTAGTACGAAGTTTTCCCCGAGGGATCCAATTGCCGATATGTATGTATGTAAGGCCATACCAAAAAGATGCAACATTCACAATGGACAGTATCCTTAAGTACTCGAGTCTCACATAGTGCTGTCAATTCCAGTCAATTCAAGTTCCAGGCCACGAGCATTCAATGGTTCTCACTCTACTCCTCCTTACTCCATCTTAACCTCTAGGGCTTTCAGCGCAAGACCCTTATACCCTCGCTCCGTTACGCCGCAATACTTTACGCCAAGGCCAAGTTTGCTGGGCTTGTCCGGACCCGAAAAGCCGTGGTTGTTCATCGCCGACTTCAGGGACTTGGTGTCGAGCGAGGGGATATGGCCGACGCACTTGCCGCCCACCATCCTCTGCGGATCGTTGTACGCCTTAAGGGTATCGCTCGTTGAGATGAAGAGGTCATCGCCCTTGACGCAACTGCTGAGGACGAAGTTGTCGAAGTCGTCAGCCGCCTCTTCGTAGTCTTGCAGAGCGTCCGTGCTCCGCTTGGGCATGGGGTACAGCTGCTGTCCGTTCTGGTACCACTTGACCGCTCCTGCGACCAGCCATGCAAGCAACTCCTGCATGTTCTGCAGGGTGCTCAGCTTGGCGAGGAGGCGCGTGTCCACCAGCCCGTGCAACGGGTTGGTTGGGTCGTATCCCTTCTCGTGCGGCGAGAAGTAGCGCCGCACGAAGCAGACCAGCTGAAGGCGGCGCCGGAGGGCGACGGACCAGGTCTTGTCCGTCTTCGGAAGGTAGTTGGTGCACATGATGAGCTGCAAAAACGATGAGGAGAGGGTCGTCAGTGCTCGATAACTCACGTTCTTTGACGCACCCCACAGGTCTCAGCATGCTCGAAAGTATTTGACCAGCGTGCTTGACCAAGCAACCGCATGCAATGCTCGATACGCAAGCTTCTCGGAATGAATCGAGCCACATCTCGGGAAAAAGGCACACGCGCTTGCAAGCGTATGCTTCAAGACAGAGGAAGAGTCTTACCAGGACGGTCGCGGTGACGGTGATAAAGTCCTTGAAGAGGGGCCGCGCCGTGATGACATCGCTGCCCGTCAGCTTCTTCATGCCGGCTTCGTTGAGCGTGTCGGACTTGTCCGTCTCTTCGACCACGGCAAGCAGCGCTCCCGCGAGCCCTGCACAAAAGCAAAGGCTACTCGGTCGATACTGATTCTTGAAGCCACTTACATGCAAGTCTAGGACGATTGGATAGCTTAGAAGACAGGACCGACAGGAGGGACACGAGAATCTGCTCGCGGACAAGACGTTGCATCTCCAATCATACCAGGTAGATAGAGAGGTGAACGTCCATTTATCTGATTGAAGGGTGGAATGGCCAGACTGCAGTGAGGACAGACAGAGTTGCGCTCAACCTCTAGGTATCTACATATCAGCAGGTTTGAGAAGAAAAGGCTTTGGTGAATTTTCACCGGCCTCGAGCGGCGAAGCGGCCCCCTTGTGGGCGGCACGCTGCCCTTTGGAGTTCACCAAAATCTCCTTGCCGAACGTCTCTGAAGGCGGTGCCGAGGAGCTTGCGCAGCAGCGCAAGGAACACGCTCTTGCCTGCGCTCCCCTCCCCGACAAAGATTGGCAGCACCTGGATTGAAGAGGTGGGAGAGAACTTTGAGGAGAAGATTTCACACGGCTGCAGATATGCTGGACCACCTTCCACGAGAGCCCTCTGCAATGATCTCGAATTCCACGAAAGTAGCTCTAGGAGGATGGCCAGCAATCGATGGCAAAGTCTTTGCAATCCTCCACAGCCTAGTCTCATAGCGATTGGTCAATGAAAATCCCATGCCAATGGACAAAGGCCTCATGTGGTTGTTGGGTCCTTAAAGATTGAGGCAGCACGTAACTCAAGTCCATCAAACCTTTCAGCTCATGTCAGCTCATGAATTCAAGCACTCAGTTGGAGGGAGCACGTACCTGATTGCTCGTATAACCAGTCAGCCCGTACCCCAGCAGAACCTGGAGGTGCTCCAGAGCAGCCGGCCCATCCTCTCTGGAGGCGTGCATGATGTCCTCCAAGAACCGCACCATCTCGCCCCTCGGAAACGACAACCCAGGGCGGGGGTACGGCCAGTCGATCACCCGGCTGTTCATGAACTGCAGTGCGAATGGCGGATCCATGAGCATGTTGGACAGCAAAGACGGCACAGACGGCAATATCGCCTGTCAGGTTTCACAAAAACGTACAAATGATCGATCTGAGAAGCTGAATGATTGTATCTATCTGAATCTCAATAATCCTGATAGATGTAGCCAAATACTTTGTCCATTCACCAAAACGCAAGATTGTGACCATCTACATCTGAATTGCAAGAATACATGCAGCCAATGGACAAAACGCAACCCATGGGGTGAGCGCTAGAAGAGTTCTTAGAGGCTCCTGAAAGCATTTGCCTAAGTGATTGTTGATTGATAAAGGAGGTCCACCGGCTGGCCGGAGGACCTGGCCGATGCCTCCATGACGCAAACTTCTCGATGAAGTCCCTGAACTGATCTGCACGGTCTTTGCGCGAGCACGGAATCATCACTCACCCGGGGGTGATGCGGGAGCAGCTCGCCAGTCCGCAAGTCGATGACGCCGTTCGCCACAGCCAGGAAGTCCTTCTGCACGTCCAATAGGGACTGGAAGCCGGGCTGATAGAAGTATTCCTTGCATGTGCCCAGGATGTTGGACATTTTTGCATTGAAGTTGACGTTGATCAGCCTCTCCTCCCTGCCCGGCTTGGGCTGCTTTCCGCCACCCGCCGGCTTCGACCTGATTGAAGGGCCTCCCTTCACGCCCAACCCGCTGTCTTCATCGCCTGCCGGTCCGTCGGCCATGGCGATTGAACGCCCTTCTCCCTCCCCCTGTTCTGCTTCACGCATGTACGCGGCCTCGATCTTGGAGAGCTCCTCGCGGAGCACCCGCAGGATCCGGCCGCCGCTCAGGTCCCTGGCCCAGCAACGACCGGACCAGTAGTACGAGCCCGATGAGGTGAAGGCGAACTTCAGGCCCGTGCGAACGTACGTAGAGGCGCTCCAGGATAAGGGCGCCACCAACATCTCCTGTAGGTACAAGAACGTGGGCTGTTTGAGGAAGAAGCCTCACGTATCCTTGCCAACAACTTAAGGGGCGCGCACTAAGTGCGAGATTTTCTTGAAGATCTTAGCTCGAGAGCTACTGTTGCTCTTAGACAGAAGAATAGGTCGTGCGAGATCTATGAAAAAGCAGTTGAAGAGACCAGACTGCGAATGTTTATACAATCACGAAACGATGATGTGCATCCTCCAGGTTGTTGGGTTGTTAGGATGCCAAACGGGCCCGCAGGTTGAACAAGCAAAGAGTAGAAATTCTAGGATGCACTTGTTAGTAGCAGATGTAGGCCCGGCCTACCATTGAATCCTCAGGGAAAAAGGCAGTATCGCAAGCTGTAACTTTGTCAATTTTTAGGCGTCACCTCGAGTCACCTAACTTGTGGGTATCCCTGCTATCTTACGTCCTTTCAAAGAAGGTGTTACCTTCACGAGAAACAGTGCTGACTGACGACCATTCGACTCACCTTTCTTAACGTTCAGGTTCTCTCGAAGGAAGGGCAGCGGCAACAGCTGCCGGTCGGAGTACAGGTGGTCCCTCTCGCTGTTCAAGGGCTGGCTGTCGCCAAAGGCCGCGGCGATTGGCGGGGGGAGAACGCCCAGGCGGAAGTTGCCCGACTGCGGGGTGGCCTTGCAGCTCTCCCCGTGGCAGATGTACGTCACCTCGGACCCCCGCCGCAGGAGCCCGAAGTTGGTGCTCTCGTGCACCCTCGCGCGAGTTGCCGGGAAGTAGGGGCACGTCACGCGCCCGCCAGGCACGTTCCGGAACTCGTAGATGACCCCAGGGCCCGTGGAGGACGGCTTGGCGGCACAGAAGATCGAGGTGTTGTCGCCCCAGGTCGACAATAGCTTCTCGAGCTCGCGCACCACCTCCGACCGAAGCTCGGGGTCCTCCAGGTCTGGTTCTGCGAAAGGGGAAGTCTGCTCGGAGCTCTCCCTGACCCCCGACTCGGAATCTGCGATGGCTTCACCCCTCCGGCCCTCTTGCCCCTGCCCATTCTTATTCTGCCCGCCAAGTCGCTCTGCAGCCACCTGAGGGGGCAAGTCGTTGTCAGCAGAGAGTAGAGCCGCCTTTTTGAAGCTCTCTTCAAGGCAGGTAGGTTGTAAAAACAGCTTGTACATGAAGACTACAAGCTGCACACGACACCGATGAAGCCTGGGCTTGAATCGGAAGAACGTCAAAACAAGGGCCACAGCCAGCCCAACAACCTAACCGCGGCTTTGAACCAGCCTGACCACGGCCCCGAAATCAACCTGATTGCGGCCCCAAAATCAGTAGGTACTAGGGCATGACCAGGATCCGTTTGAGGTACTAGGCCGGGCTAGAACATGCAAGGCCAACTAGTTGAGGTGTTGTGTAGACGAATTAGAGCCAATCTTGCCCCACGATTTGATAGCGAGGGCGGTCGAGTAAGCTGAATCGGAGTGACTCTACATTAGCGAAGTACAATGACGAAATTAGTACACGTTATTTTGGAAAAAGCTGCTTGTATGGGCATCGTGTACATCGGCTTACAAAAGAGCAAAACCAACCAAGGACACAGGAGCCTTACCCCAATGCCAGGGACAGGGCCCGAATCACATGATTTGTCCGCGCTCGACTCCGCATCGCTGGCAGCGCCGTTCTCCACCTCGCCCATGCACACCTTTGCACAAGGCGAGCCCCCCCCTTCCTTTGCAGAACTGCCTGCTACCTGCAGGTAAGGAACGCACGGTTAAGAGGAGCGACAGGAGAAACACCTGTTCTTGCTGTTTGTCCTGTCTGCCAGAGCACAGACGGCAAAAGTGCATCTAAGAGAATGGCGGCGACAAGAGAGACACGTGTCCTTGCTGTCTGTCCTGTCCGTCCTGTCTGTCAGAAAGGCAAAGTGCATGAGAGCATATACAGCAACAGGAAAGACATGTGTCGTTGCTGTCCTTCCTGTCTGCTAAAGCTTGCTTTAGTGGCAACATGCTTGAGAACATGGTAACGACAGGAGACACGTGTCTCTACTGTTCGCCTATCTTGTCTGCTTTTGCCTTGTCTGCTGCTAACGTAAAGAGCCCCGAGCACGAGTGGCATAAGACTTGCCCAGGACGGATCAAAACTTTGTCAGAACTTACCCCAATCTTCACAAGTCCTGCGCACGACTGTGCACCATCGGCAGCGCCACCCTCCACAGCGTGCATGTGACCTTCCATGTGCGCGCTTTCACCAGGCGAACCCCCCCCTTCCTTTGCCAAACCGCCTATCCCCTGCACATGAAGAGAGGAAGGTCACGAAGGCCGACAGCAAAAACACATGTCCTTGCTGTCTATCCTGTCTGCCAAAGGCCAGAAGTCGAATCTGCATGAGAGCATGGACAGCGAAGGGAAGAACACAGCCTCTTTGCTATCCGTCCTGTCTGCCAAAGCACAGATCCATAGCTACAGGCTTGAGAACATGGGCGCCGACAGGAAGTACACGTGTCTTTGCTGTCCGTCCTGTCGATCAAAGCACAGACGGCGACATGCTTGAGAACATGGGCAACGATAGAAGAGACACATGTCTCTGCTGTCCGTCCTGTCTGTTGCTCCTGAAAAGTCCCAAGCGGGAGTGGTGCATAAGAGTTGGGTCGTTTGACCGGTGTTTCGTCAAGACTTACCCCGCTCGTTTGTGCACCATCGACAGCGCCACCCTCCACCACATGCATGCAACCCTCCTTGTTCGCGCTTGTACCAGGCGAGCCACCCCCTTTCTCCTTAGAACTGCCTGCCACCTGCAGAGAGAGAGCACGAGATTGTGAATCTCGACATGAGAAAGACCTGTCTTTCCTGTCCTTCCCGTTAGCCCGAGCACAGACAGCAGAGGCTTAGGGCGGCGACAGCAGAACCACGTGTCTCTGCCGTTCGTCCTGTCTGCTGTCACTAAGGGAGAATCGGGCTTTCAAGATGTCGTTCTCACTTTGATCCTCACGGGGGCCGGCATCGGCTGCACACCATCGGCAGCGCTGCCCTCCACCTCGTCCATAGGGTCGGCGGCACGGGCGCTTGCATCAGGCCACACCTCAGACAAGCGGAGCTCTTCCTCTGCAGAGCCGTTTTCTTTCTGCAGAGGGAGAGCATAAGATGAGCAACGGCGGCAGAAGAAATACCTGTCTAGGGCTGTCTAGGGCTGTCTAACGTGTCTGCCGGAGTTCTGCAAACTCGAAGTTCATAAGCTTAAGGCAAATGCATGAGTCTAAAAGATCATCTGGACCGATGGAACAAGGCAAGTCGCCAGAATCGACGTGTCGCTTTCTGCCACCACCTCTCTGTAGAACTCTGTTTGGCATCGACCGCAAAAGCGACCTGAACGAGGACGACTATCTGAAGAGATGTCGATTCGGATCGGGTGTTGTCATGGGAAGCGGCTGGGAATTGAAGCATCACATAGATCTCCTCCATTTTAATCAGACCTTTTGGCCCCACTGGCAGGCGCTGTATGCACAATTCCAAAAGAACGGGGGTTTTGAAGACCCCGAGTGGCCCATCTACAACCTCAATGACAACACGCTATGCTTCGAAAGGTTCAAGAAGGGCGGGGAACCAGTTCGAAGAATGGAGACATCAAAGGCCTTCTACAAGCCAGGCCCGGCGCAGTTGCTCGGCGAGGACGCACGCAAGGCGCGAGGCAGGTCTCGAAGCGAGGCGAGGGGAAATCGGGGAGTTTAGCTGACGTTGTTCAGATGCTCACGTTATCAGAGAAGTCGTCTAGATAATCTTGGCTTAAGTTTGAAGTTTTGGAGATTTGAAAAGCTTTATGTAATCCCTTCAACAGCGCTTCATGTTTTGGTTTCCATGGCTGCTGACGTCTTTCATGAGGCCGGCTCAAAATCATGGCAAAAGTGCTGGGTGAAGAAAGGGTTCCCCTTAATTGCGATACACCCGAGTGCTCAAGAAAGTACTCAACCATATGCGCCAGACACTGCAGAGAACCCTTCTAGAGGGTCAGATCTCGTGCAGAATGGGGTCACTGATCTTGGACACACCCATGTACGCAAGAACCAAACTTCCATGCCAGACAATTTGTGCGCTGCAAACTGCCACGTCCTCATTACAAAATACACACCAAATTGTGTACATGCATGAGAATTGAGAGTGCGGCCAAGCAATGAGGCGAAGCTTTGGGTTGCACTCACCTGCATCTGTTCAACGCGTGGCCCGCCGCCTGAAGGCTGTGTTTTGGAGATGTGGATTCTCCATGATGTCGCGCTGACGCTTCCTGTCTGCCAGTCGCTTGGTCGACCCTTCCTCAGATGCTCCTCCCAGGCCAGAGTAGGCCGGGCTTGAAGGCTCGTACGATCCCATCTTCTGCAATACATTGCACAATTCAGGGGCGAAAAGACAAGTCTGCGCTCATTCATCATGGTTGCCAGAAACAGGCTGCCTCGAATCACCCTAGTGGCGTGCACTGGGACTGTCTGACATTGGAATCTAGATTGTCTTACCACGCAGGGCCGCAACTAAACCCTGAAGCGCACTCAAAATTAGCCTCGCAACTGCCCCGCAATCCCTGAAACTAGCCCCACAGCATGCATGCCATCAGTCCTCAAAAAGCAGACTCAAAACAAGCCAGCATGCGGAGTGAGACCAGCCCAACAGCAGAAGTGCAATCAGCCCCCTACAGGCCCGCAATCAGCCCCGAGTGGAACCAAAACCAGCCCCAAAGCGGGCCCGAAACCAGCCCCACACTGGGGCATGCAACAGCCCCAAGACCAGCCCCACAGCAAACCCGCAATCAGCCCCAGAGCGGACGCAGACCAACCCCGCAGCTGGGTTTCATCTGTCCTGCAGCGGGCTCGCGTTCAGCCCCAAAAAGCAAGCCGGAACCAAACTGCAACCAGATCCAAAACAAACAGCCCACAGTCAGCAAGCACCTCAGGCTGACAGCGAACATTATAAGCCCCATAGCCAGGTGCCAAAGTTGACCCCACAGTCTGGCGCCAAATTTGTGGGGCCAATTCCGCCCCCCAATCTGGCGCCAATTTAGCCCCAAAGTACGTGACAGATAAGCCCAACAAGCTGGCGCCATATCAGCTAGAATGCTCGGCACCATGAGCTCGAAATATGAACCGCGAGCAAATATGTGTTGACAGCTTGGTGCCAAATCAGCCACACGGCAAGCAACCTAATGCTTCCACTTCAATCAAAAACATCAGATCCAAGCATAGGACAGAAAAAGGTACGCAAAGTGAGGGCCTCTTGAATGAACTCGCCTTCCACCTGGCACCCTTTAGAGCGACCCCTCTATTGCATGCACTGCTAGTAAGATGCGGCGGCCATCCCCAAAGCGCGGGCCCAAGACTGGCAACACTTTGGACGTTCCCACATTTGAAGCCCAGGTGGGGGGACTCTGCAAGGCATCAGAGTCAGATTGCTTCGTTTCAAACGCTCATGAACTGTGGATGCCAGCTGACTGCCCAACAAGCACAATTATCATCATGTGCCCACAATTGCTCTCAGGTATCAAGAGTGCTGCAGCCTTGTACTGGATAAAGATGCACCCTGAACATTCAACTTGCAAAGGACATGAGCTCTCAAACGTATCAACACAGCATCCGAGGCTGGAACTTTGAAATTCAAAAACATACATTAGACACACATGGCATGTGTGGGAGAAGTCTGTCAACTCATACGCCTCGTTGCATGGTTCAATGTGGTTTAACAAAATGAACAGATTCAGAACAGTACGCTACTTGCCAGAGGTGGTGGCGGCTGCCGACAATTGCACAAGGCACTTGCACGTTGCTTTGTCCACAAAAGTCAGACCGATTCCAGCATGTTTATGTGCGAAAAGAAGGGCCCTCATATCAGAAGAAACTTGGTAAGGTGCTCTCACCTGCATCCCCGTGCTCTTGTAAGGAGCGTCCGCCAACCAAAGATTGCCCACTTCTGAGCTTTTCACAAGAGGCTCTTGAAATCTGGATCCTTTGATGTTTTCAGAAATGTTGAAGGTGGAGACACTTGCAGCCCAAAATGGCAGCTTGAGGGAGCTGCCCCACAGCGCCACAGGTTGCCATGCTGCGCCACTGGCAAGTCAGCCTGTTGCTGACTCAGAATCCTCTGGACACTTGTCAAGCATGCGTGGTGGTTGGAGGCCGCCATGGCCTGCCACCCTGCCTTGTACACCATATTCTAGCTGCATGGAGCACCAGCTACAGTGGTGCAGCCATCTTCTCAGCTGTTGCACATTTTTCCAGCTGCCAGTAGCTCGCGCACCCATCTTCAAGCTGCAGCACTGGTGAAATGCCATAGCTACTCAACTGCAGCTAGTGCAGGAAGTTGTGGACTTCACAATGCTCCTGACATGTTTTGCAGCTGCTAGTAGAGCAAATCAGAGCGGCCTTGAATCACAAGCTTCTGGATCAGCACTCGAGGAAAAAGGTCCCGAAAGGCAAACAGAAGACCCAGTGTGTGAATCTCCTCTTCTCTCTGACACATGCTCAGAGAGCAGACAAGCGAATCAGGACGGACAACATTTTCTCTGTCCCGCTCCAGCTTATACACTACCATACCGGAAAAATTGCCGGAATTTTATAGTTGGTAGCACGCTTCGACAGGAAAGACAGGACCGACGGCATTTTCTCTTGTCTCGCTTTGCGCTTATAAATAACCTTACCTTGGAAAATGGTCGGGATTTTGTAATTAATAGCAAGCTTCGACATAAGAGACGGGACGGACAGCACTTTCTCCTGTCTTCCCGACTTATATTCTACTATACCGGAAAAACTATCAGAATATTGTAATTGATAGCACGCGTCGACAGGAGGACAGGATAGACGAGACGGACGGCAGAATTTGCTGTCCTGCCTGCGCCTTATTTCTGACCAAACCGGCCAATATGTGACAATTGGTGATCCTTAGATACATACATATCAGCAAACTCGGCCGACCTCCGAAAAGTTTGTACTATAATCTATTATTTTTTTTTTCTTCTCCGGGGAAGGAATTATAACAGATTACTAGTCCAGAGTTTTCCCTTTGGTTCCCAATTGGCGATATGTATGTATGTAAGGACCATACCGGAAAAAGATGCAATATTGTAATTGACTTTTTGGAGAAGAGAATATAACAGATTAGTAGTATAGAGTTTTCCCTCTGGATTCCAATTGCCGATATGTATGTATGTAAGGCCATACCTGGAAAAGATGCAATATAGTAACTGACTTTCTGGAAAAAAGAAGATTCTCCGTAAGTAGAGTACTTAGGGAGAATTAAGGTACATTTCATCCTTGGTCCCCGAGTGCCCGGTGATCGGACTAGTACCACTTGGGTCTGTACCGGCTCCGACTTCAGGTTTCGACCCCTGGTACGAACATCACACCTTTGGGTTCCAGGGGGTCTGACATGGCGGCCTGTGATAGGCTCAAATTTGAATCCGAACTGCATTTGGCTTGCTGGACTTTCGGCGATCTCGGGCAAGGGGGGCTGACGTGTCGCCAAATGACTGGCCCATGACTGGCACAAAATAAGGCCAACCATCTGATGGTTTGCTGCGGACTGCCGAAGGGGCACGGGCCGGGTGACAGTGAGACCCGCGGTACGGCCCTACTGGACTATTCCACTCTTGTGGATCCTGGGGGGGTATGCCTTGGCGCTCTCTGATTGGCTGAAACTGTAGTCCGAACTTCATTTCACACATGTATATATCTCTGATTGGCTTGCTGCTCAAAAGCTGACTGGGTGCGCGCGCGACGAACCCGAGTAGCGGCGGCTGCGCAGGTCCAGCCTGACCTAGCGAGTCCCCACGAAACTTGAACGTGATAGCTGTGAATTTTCTTAGAACCTGGGATACGAGAAGCCTCTGCGAGGCGCTTACAGAAAGCCTGAAAGGTGTCATGCACTAGGTAGCCGATTGTCTGTCGTCCCGGAAAGGAAAGCTCGGCTTGCATCGCCAAAGGCATACAGATGGACCTTCAACAGTCCTCTGCCGTGGTTACTCTGGTTCAAAACGGCCAGATGGCTGCTGCCGAAGTTGTGTCTCCTGACAGGACGCAGGGCGTCAGGAGGGTTCACAAGAGGGTCACCTCACCAACGTCCTTGCAGACTGGGGACTTCGGAATCCTGTGGAAGAGGAACAAGTCTGATGGAGAAGCTTCCACTTCACACGGTGAGTGCTTTGACATGAAGGCTGGCTCACTTGAAGGCTGGCTCTTGACCCAATATTTGAGATTGATGCTTTGAATATGGGAAGCCCTAGTACCTAAGCAAGTCTCATCGAATCCAGTTGCCGTGCTGTGTGGACGCCATTCTTGTGGAAGTCTGTGAGGCAAATTTCCCACTGTTTTATCCACTTTGCTGCCATATACAGGCAATGTGGGGGAGATTGTCAGCACTGCTTCATACTTGTCCTCAGATCGTGGAGCTCAAGACATGGCTCAGGTAGGACTTTCGCTGAATTTGCCTGGAGCTGCCTGGTCGGTGCAGGACACACAGTTGCGCGATGCTGCCGCCAAAGGCTCTGTGGTTTGCTAGAGATCTTTACCTGCCTTTCTTATAAGGTTTCTACCTCACTGCACATGTTCACCCTTGCTAACTCAGACAAGTCACACAACCTTGCAGGGGCTGGGTTTGGATGCTATGGACGTTGATGATCTGCAGTCCATGATCTCTGAGAGGTATCTGAGAAATATCAGCAAGCAGTGGCATGCCCGGAAGAAGACATCTGAAAACGCTCAACTCGTGAAGGCTTACAACGCTGCCCTCAGACAAGCAAAGGCGTCAGGAAGAATCAAAGGCCACTACCAAGCGCATGCATCCGCGGCATTCAATATCGAAGTCCGAAATGTCCTCAAAGAGCGGCAGCACGAGGGGTTGTCTCCAGGGTATAGAGCAGACTTGGAGGAGAGGCTGAAAATCGCGAAGCAGGTCATTGACAATGTGAGCTGATCTAAGTTCCTGAGCTTGAAAGTTGTATCCACTCTGTAATTATCATTTCAGCCCTGGCTTTTGGAGCACGCTCGAGCAACTAAGTTACTGGTTCTGACACCTGTGAACTCTTTTTCTGCTTCTGTGCGCTTTTGCCCTTTTTGCAGCTTGAGAGGATCGTACTTGTAATGCTACAATTATATTGCCTTTTGACTGAGCCACATGGTGCTCAATTCTCATCTGACGCCTTGATTGATCTACTTGCAGAGCTCCGCACTGCCGGGGCTTGGCAATGGCTACGTGAATCTGGAGCAAGCCTATTCGAGTGCTAATGACGACCTTCACCAGACGATCACGTAAGTTCAAGGCCTGAGATACTCAAAGATTATTGGCAGAGAACCTTGGCAGGTGCTTTAGCAGCTGGTTAAGCAATTGGTGTGGGGCTGCTTCATTGGCAGAGTAACGCAATCTCCACACCAAACCAATGGAAGAGGGAAAAGGCTTTCTTGTGGTGAAGTGCCATTAGCTTCTGATCCGTTTGTGCAGGCCGGCTTATGTGCAGCGCGTCCAAAGTCTCGCTGCTCGAGGTGTCTTCAAGAAGATTGGGGTAAGCACTTTCTCAGAGGAGTTTTCCTTGCTGTGCTGTTGATTGTGTCGTTCCAGATCGATCCCAAATATTCTCATCTTTGCATATGAGTTCTGCCATACTTCTGGAGAAATAGGGGGAAGAGCTTCGTTAGTTATTCATGGCTGCTCCTCCTCCACACTACATGGAAACGAACCTATTTCTCTTATGAATGAAACTCTCACACATGCAGGACGGCGTTGAAGACACAGTTCTGAAAATGGTACAGGCCCTGTGATAGAGCGCTGCACAAAAGGTAAGTGTTGACCTGAGAATTACGGCAATCTTAGCAAGTTGTTGGCTACAGCCCTACCATCAGGTTGCTGAATAGTGAAACGATCTGCAAGATTCTGCAATTCTAATCATCGGGGAGACCGGTGTGCGCAGGTCCTCTTGCGCTTCTTGCTTCCTTGTTATGGCATGTCAGCGCATCTTTGCGAGTACCCTGATTGTAGACAATTGACAGAACTTTAGTATAACCACGCTGCGGCAGGGAAGTTTTGAGAGCTCTGTTGTGTGAGGGCGCAACAAAGGCAGTATTCTTTCGAACAACTTCTTTTCAAGGGCCTTGCTGGAGCCCAAAGCTTTATCTGACTGCTTACACCGGATTGTGTTCTGCTCAAATCCAGAATCAAGCAGAGTAGAAGGAAGACGGCACGCACAATTCACCGTTGGAAGCAAGACATGTTATGCTTGTCTCCATTTGACTGTCAATGTTGACCTTGTCTGCTGATGCCTGTCCATTGTTGCAGGGATACACACACTTGGCCGAAGCTGTACATGTGGTTCATCAAGGAGATTTCGAGTTTCATCGGAAAGATGATGTCCGTCAGTCACTTAGTCAGTACATAGATAGCGGAAGGTATACGAGGAGGACACCTAACATGTCATGTCGAAGGACATACTTCGCTTTGGAGGGGCTCGCTGAGATCATTTTAAGTGTGACTCGGAAATTCTAGTCTCTGCTGCTCTAGTGTGACAGGACGTACGCAAGCAGAGACAGCCAATTGCCAGAAGCCTTCACTGATGCGGGCATCGAGCATGTGCATTCTGCATGCACATGGCCCGACCATGTTGACTCAAAAGTTGATCAACTGATCGCGCAAACTTATAATTAATTAGCGCGTCCTTGCATAAGATAACTTCTGAATTTGGTTTCGAATATGATCACAAGCTCAATCAACGCCTCGTGCATGAGATATGCAGGTGACGGAGGACTAAATCTCGTGGAGTCCCCCATGAGCTATATACGCTAGGTGAGAGCTCGCAAACAGAACCTCCTTCAAGGCTTCATATCGCATCTGACTTGAGGCAGCTGTAAGTCAGGCATTCTAGGTACTTCATGAGGAAGCCCCATGGAGTGCCGCGCAACATTACAGCGATTGTTAAGGTGTCGTGCATTCCAATGTCAATCAATGTCTCAAGATTAGGAGGCCCAACTGCTCCTCATTGCATTCCTCCGCCATCCGCCTTCGAGAATGACACTTGGCAAGACCACCTCATCATGACAATCTGCATGACCAAGGTACATCCATGTTGACAACCTGCACCACATGTTAGATCCAAATCTAAGAGTCGGCTTAAGAGCGCAGCCTGCCAAGCTCGAGACCAGCTTGCCATACTTAGCGCAGCACCAAGCGGCCAGACAGCATCCTTGAATGTAGGCCCTTGCACCCTGCATGAGTCACGCAAAGCACTTGCTGGCTGGCTTGAACAAAAGCTCAAGATGCTTTGCGGTTGAGCACTCACATAGGATAAAAGAACTTAAAAGCACTTGACCGTCCTGACAACTGAGAGCATACCGCAGTTCAAGGGTTTACCTATCATCGGCAATATGGTGCAACCGGCTGGAAAGCCTTAAAAACGGAACGCTGCTGTGGTAAGCGAAGAGCTCTTCACCTGCCCCGTCATGAAAGCAGCAGCAAGGTCAAGTCCCAAAGAGCCTACGAGTCCTGCGACGTCCTCAGGTTGGCCGTACTTTCCTGGAAGCAAAACATTAGAAGTTCGCCGGTCACCGCGACCTTCGATCATGCACTTCCCGGCCGGCAGATTCGAGAGGCCAGAATCGTCGTTCGCAGAAATGCTCTTGACGAGACTCTCTGGCTATGCAGAATAGAGTCTACGAATCGTCCATTTTGAAGCAGATTGATGGCGCATGATTACGGCTGAAGCGCAACCATTTTCGCCAGCGACAGAAATAAGGCTCTCAACGCTGAAAGTCCAGCGGCATAGCAGTCCGGAGGGAATAGCATTCGTAACTTTGAAAGTCACCGAAATGGCCCTCCTATAGATTTACTTACCACTTCATACGCCTAGCGCTGAGAGCGATTGTTGCTTGCAAGGAGATCATTGCCTTTGCAACTCTACGGGGTTCAAAATTCTTGCGCAATAAATATGAAAGACCCCTTTCTGCACACCTTGACCGGCTGCCCAATCCGCACAGCCTTCACCCCGAGCTCCAACAGCCCCTTGAGCAGATTGTCCACCGCGACGTTGCTGCAAGAGCGATCGGCGCGAAAGGTACTCCTTTTGTCACCCTGAAAATACGATTGATAAAGAGTATCCAAACAATAAAAGGTCTCTGAGAGGACCAAATTGTCGGCGGTCACTTTCTCTTGGAAATGGGTCAGTTTCGCATGCGTCAGCTTGACGCCCCCAATCAAGGATCAGTTTGAAAATATGCAGATAACAAAATGTCCTCAAGCACAGTAAAAGCTAACTTTGTCACGGCATCACGGCTCTGCGCAGCTGTAGAATCAGAAGTTTGGTCGCCACGTGAGACAGCAGTGCTAGCCACAACCGTCTTTCGCATCACTGCAGCCCAGAAGTTGGATCTGGTTAGCGAGCGTTTTAAGGTACCTGTCCGCGCCACGATGGGCTTGTATTCGCGCGCCAACAGCTTCTTGGACAGCAGCAGGAAGCGGAGCAGAGTGCAGGTCTTTCTCGTCCCTACGCAACGCACAATCCTCTGAAAAGGAAGAAGAAAAGTGAACAGTCGTTGAGAGATAGAGAAGAGACAGACATACTATGAGCAGGACAGTCTGTATGCCTATGCAAGGCCGGATAAACTTCCAGTGGAGAGTTGGCGCCGTGAACTATGATAGGTATCTAAATTGGGGCGATTCGGGCGGAACCTCGCCAAGTTCCGGTCTCACATGCTCTCAACATGTTGTGGTCGGGGGTTAACCGACGGCCTTTCGACGGGTCGGTCCAATGGCAATCCTTTTTGCCAGGGGGGGGTATGAGACCGTATGACTTGGCGCCCCCTGATTGGCCCTCGTTTTAGTCCGAACTTCATTTGGCTTGCTGAAAAATGAGTCTGCCCGAAGTGCCACGTGCGCGGTAGGATAGAAAATCCCAGCTAGCACCAATCACTGAATAAGTGCATCACCCTCAATGATGCTTTGACTTTCATGCATATGGGGGCGTCCCTTCAAGACTCGAGCTGATCGAAGGCATTCGCTGGCAGTTCCTACATTCACGACACCTCATGGGGTTTACTCTGGGCAGGGACCGCCAAAGGTTTGAATGGCAGGCTGCAGCTTTTCTAGTGTGTGCTCATGTAGCGAACCAAGCGCGCTAGCAAAAGGCTTAAATTACTAGGCTCACCCTTCAATATTACAGATTCAAGTCAATTAACTTTCATTCTAAACACTGTAAGAGAGAGCTCGAGCGACGGCATATGCCCCGCATGTGCTTTTGAAGCGAGCTGACGTTCTACATTGAATACAGCAACTTTATCAGTTCGTTCTAGCTGCTAGGGGTAGCAGGCTGCTGAGCTCTAGTTTTGCAAAGATTGGAAGATGGGGTGTGTACGTGCAATATCCTTCCGCGTTCGCTTGTCGCTCCTGCTAGCTGCCCAGTGTGCCGCATTTGTGCTTCTGTTTGCTTCAGTGGCATTGGCCCAGACCACTTCACTGAGCCAGCTGGAACAGCAACTAGAGGGGGCACCAAACTACAGCAAGTTCTTGCAAGTGCTGCGGACCGATGACGTCGTGTCGAGTGTCCTAGGGCCAGGGGGATCGCTGGACAACAAGACGGTGAGAGAGCATGCATTGACAAACTTGGCATGTTGCTTTCGTAGAATTCTCCAATGCCATGCGTTTAAAATGATCCTGGAACGTTTTTATCAAGGAGGAATGGGCCCCGCAGGTTATCCATAGGTGAAGTACCGTACCGGCAAGGGAATTCAACATAAATAAATATTTTGGGGTCAGTGTGAAAAAATATAAACCACTTGTGGCCCCGACTGTGAAAAGGTGAAACCATGACCTTTTCAAAAAATGGTCATTTCCGGCTGTTTTCAGTGTGGAAAAAGCGAAAAAACCTCTTGTGTGAAATGAAAAATATATTCTCATTGCGCACGGTGAAACCTCAGGATGAACGAAATTAAGTTTTCACACCAAAAGGTGGTGAATTCCCTTGCCGGTACGGTATTGGAGCTAGCAGCTTCTGCGACAAGGAATTGGGGCTTCTTAATAAGCTGCCATCCTGTGGTCAGGTCAGAAGTTGTCAGCTGCTAACAGCGCACATGCATGGTCATTTTGAGCCTCTTGTGAAGAGCCCCAGCCCTGTTCTTCTCCAGACATGGGCCCCATTAGTGTCTCTTTGGAAACACTTGCCCTATCAGGAACCAGAACCAGTTTATGCTTGTTAAGGATACCATCCCCTCAAGGTCATCTCAGACACTGCAGGCTGATTACAGACGAGAGCCAACTGTCAGAGTGTTTTAAACACCGGACAGCGCTTGTATTGCCTTGCTAATCAATTGAACTCAAATGGCATGGGACTCTTGGGGCATCATATTGAGTATAAATTCTTTTTCGCCCCTGACCTGCAGAAATATCACAATTCTCTGGGCATAGCATGTAAGACATATTGGCGTAGCCATAAGATTTATTTGGCACCTATTTCTGGTCAGGGATTTTGCCCACGATGATGGGCGTCAGACACAAGGCCCTGTACAAGCCACTCAAGAAGACATAAGTAATCGAAAAAAAGTTCACAAACTGCCAAAAGCTCGACGTCATGAACAAACAATTTGTTGTCAGGCTATCTTTCCCGCAGATTTTTGCTTTTGACAATGCGGCCGACACGCCTCGCTGGGATTACAACCTGACGCTTGTTCAGTGCGGGCTGAATGACCCCACACACGGTGCATTGAGAGCCGTCCTTGCGTTCAATATCATCGAGGGGAAGTACACGTTTGCCCAACTCCAAGCTCTGACAAAGGGGCAAACATTTTTTGCGCCCACAGGTGAGCTACCTCTTTTGTGGTTGTAACTTGGTCTTCTTTGCTTCCTTGTCTTTGCAGGTTCTGTAGTGCAAGCTGCCACTTCAGGGGGAAACCTGAGAGCACATGGATTGCTAGCTGGAGCTGAGGTGAGGTTCCATGACAAAGAAGATAGCAGGTTGCTTGGATGCGGGAGTATCGCAGACTGGAGAGGAATGTGGAAGTGGCTGAGTGTCTGCTAACCAGGTTTTTCTCAAGACAGAAGAAAGGAATGAGCAATTCAAATAAATACACACAAGAAACATATCTTTGCCACAAGAATCTCAAGTAGATTGTTGTAAGCGATATCAGAGCCAGTCGTTGACTGTAGCCTGAGCTGGTCCGGCTATGTCAAACCACATGACCGTGTTGGAGTGGAAGCTGGCTCAATCGGTCAGGCATGACCTGTATCATTCTACTAAGTCGATTTGCAACGTAGTGGGGGCCAAAAGATATGTGTTGAACAAAGGGGTTCAGATATTGCTTGGTTGGGTCCAGCAGTCATCGTGTTAGTCGAAGAGGAGTTGCGTTTCAACAGGTAGGCTATCAGCCGAAACAAACTTGAAAGCAAGGACTGCTCGATGCGTTCCGCACTTTTCTTTGTTGGACACATATTCAGAAATCCCCATCAAACGAACTTTCAACAATCGATCCACTTTATGAACCTGATAAGTCTCTTAAGTATTGTGACGCCCTCATCTTGCAGCGGGGTATGTTCGTATCATCGACAGCGCCTCGTTGGGCGAGATCGTCGACCCTGATCTAGTTGACGATCCGACGCTTTCCGTCCACGGAGTCAACAGCATCGATTACTTCAGGTACCCCGCCGCGCCGGACGGCTTAGTCATTACCTGCACTTCCCAGGGTGAGTTTCAGGGTTATTATTCTATGGGTTCAGGATTGAGGTTGTAGGCTTGTCTCGTTTCGCGAGACAATAGATATGTGATGCAGCGTTACACATGAGCTTTCATGCTTTACCTTCCTCTTCTTTGTGCACTTGCCCGTCAACCGCATTCAGCGTATCTGGAGAACGCAAAGTCAGTCCCGAGGCAGCTGGTTTTTTCCAAAAATTCCAGAGGGTTACCCCTTCCAGGTTATAGTATCTGTGGCCGGGTTTCTTTGAGTCAGGGCTGATTTGAGGGTACGTCCGAGTAACCACGTTTTAGTTCCTCTCCTTTCTCGACGCTGTTCAGGACCCTATAGTAGCTACTATACGCCCCAGAGCAAAATGTTCCTTTCGCTTCCGCTTGCATCAATCGTTAGTCGCCTTGATTCATTCACGCCAAGCTGGAGGTTTCCAAATCCATTTAAAGCGCTTGCCCTTGTGCTACTTTCAACCGCGAGTCCTCGCCTTGGGCCGGCGTTTCCTTGCTTCTCTATGCTGTCTTTACCATCAGCGTTTTCAGCAGCCCACCGAGTTGACCCGTAAAGTATTCAGGACATCCATAACCCTCTGCATTCTCCGCGAAATTGCAAGAGCGTCTGATCTCGACAAGATTACATGGCTGCCTGACGAACGCTTGTTTTGGAACAATCGTGGGCATGTGCTCCATTACATAGAACCGAAATAGCAGCCAAACTTGTACGGCCGTATCCGCTTTAAGCGATCGGGTCTGCCGGGCAGTCAACTCAGTCAGAGGATTCCGAAATGCTGATGCAAGCTCCTGCCATGAAACGAATGGGAAAACGAATGGGAAGAATCACGACTCTGACAAACCCGCCGTGCCTGCAGCCAATCCTTGCTACGGCTACCCGGCGAATCCGTGCGTCAGCCAGGACCGGAATGCGTTGTGCCAGAACCCCGAGTTTGGCGTGGCGGTTTGCGTCTGTAGCCCCGGGTTCACGGGGACGCCCTGTGTTCCGGGTAAGCCCATACCGTTTATGTCTCGCTTCGTATGAGTCTGGATTTTCGTATTCTTATCGCTCGTTTCCTCGCACATCAAAGAGCACCCCTGTTCTGGGTTCATTTGATACCCACCTTCATACGGCTTCACGATTTTAGGTTCTAAGCGCCCGGCAGATGCACTATTATCAGAGTCATCCGGTCCCTTGAGCGTGTTTAAAGAAAGAGAACTCTTGAAATGGCCAGCTGATCTTGATGGAAAACATCCTGCGTTTCTAAGCATCTATGCGCCCGCGTCCAAGGCACCCCGACGACGTCTCAAACGGGCCGGAGTCCTCCTGTCTCAGCCATCCGCTTTTAACTTCCCGCTGTCTTTCCATCTTTCAAAACGGCAGTCATGCATGACGCTCGACAAGGCGCTGCTAAGTGATTTTCGACTTGAGGGGTGCTGGAACCAGACTTGTCGCGAGATCCTGACGCCCCAAAGAATTCTTGACCATATTGGGGTTGTTGGCGCCACATCCGCTCTTCCTCAGTTCCTCAACATACTCTCCATCAATTCATCGTAACGGTCTCTGTCGAGGTTTTTTGAAACTGTTTGCAGACTTTTTCTTCACCTTGATTCCTCCCTAGATATAGGCTCCAAGCTGACATGAGTTACTTCTATCATGAGCGCTTTTCGGGTCTTCTTCGACGGTCCTGTAACCTCGAGACAAACCTCAATTTCATTCTTTTCCTCCCCCGCAGTCTCCGGCCCAGTCTCACCCCCTACGGGCGACCAAGGCGTCTGCGGAACGGGTGCTGCGGCCGCCTTCCCGACGCGCTGTCATTTCAACAACGACCCTCAGGGGCGTTACGTCTGTTGCGACCAGTCCGGCTGTAACGGCTTTAACCCGCCCGATAACCTGTTTCCCCACTGCGCTAACAACGGATACGTGCCCCCCGGTTATGGCATCTCTTCGTCGGGGGGGCCGCCGCCGAGCCCGAGTCCACCCCCCAGCGGGAACCAAGGTGGGTTGTGTGGGCTGCTAGAGTTTATCCTGCTTCATAAGCAAAAGCGAATGTTTTACTTATACCAGACCTCACGCAGACGATTCACGAAGGAGGTCCTGAAAACCTTTCCTGGAGACCAGCTTGCCTTTCGTTCTTTGCGGTTTTCGGCAACCCCGCTTCCGAGGCCCCAGACTTCGTATTCTGATCTTGTACCACGTGCACGAGAGAGTTGGGAAGGCCTTGAGATTACACGCAGACGAAATACTTGAATCGCCAACCTTTCTTTTCCGATCAAGCTTCTGAGACCAAGCCTGACGCCCGGCGGAGCTCTCCGAGGATTCTCGAGTCACTACACGCGGGGAGTTATTGAACGGAACGCTTTGCATTCTCGGTGGGCGCGTCAGAAAGCGACCTCCGTGTGATGAGCGCGAGCGTCGAAATCATATCGAAGGGAGTCTTGAAATTCTTGTACGGAGAAGCTGAATTCGTTTCCAAAACCTCTTTCTGCGGTTTCACGCTTTCCTGCACCAAACGAAGGTGCGAGTTCATGGTCTAGACTAGCAAAGCTGATGAATACGGCTCCCTCGTTCTTTCCTCCCTACACTTAAACACTCTTCTTCCGTTTACTTAGAACCATAAGACAGCAGGCCCCTTCCACGTTAAAAGGTACAAATGCCTCCTACAAAGACACTAATCACGTCCTCTTTTCTTTCTTCTCAACGGCTACAACCTGACTACGGCTTTTGAACGGTTGAGTCTGCTCAGCATTCCACGGCACGGCGCCGTCTCTGCCTTCGATAGCCACCGTGCCTCTACTAACCAAACGCTAGGTCAACGAATCTGTTCTTTTCAAACAGAAGGCACAATAACGGGCACGCTTCCGGGCTCATATATGGGCTTCTTCCTTCGCAGGCGTCTCGGAAGAAGCGGCGCGGCCGCTTTCCCAAAGCGCTGCCCCTCGACGGTTAACGCACGGGCACTGTTGTGGCATCAAAACATCAGAACATCAGGAAATCACGATTCAATAAGATCAAGGCTCATTGAGAAGACTGGACTTGGTTCTAAAGCTGTCCTTAAACCCGGCATCAAGACATCCGGAGATAAGGACATCAAGGTTCAACGAGATCGAGGCTAATTACAAACATGGACTTGATCCTGTCCTTCAAAAGCAGTTGTCTTTTTCGCAGGCGTCTGCGGAACGGGCGCCGCGGCCCGCTTTCCTAAAGCGCTGCCCCCAAGCGAAAGTCCAGGCGCCATGCTGACATCAAGACATAAGGACACAAAGAACATCAGGACATTGTGGTACAGCGAGATCGATGCTCAATAGCGGAGACAGACGTAATTGTTTCCAGGAGAATGGTCTCCAAAAGATGACTTTCTTTACAGGCGTCTGCGGAACGGGCGCCGCGGCCGCCTTCCCGACGCGGTGTTACTTCAACAGCGACCCCCAGGGGCGTTACGTCTGCTGCGACCAACTGGGCTGCGACGGCTTTAACCCGCCCGATAACCTCTTTCCTCACTGCGCTAACAAGGGATACGTGCCCCCCGGTTATGGCGTTTCCGGCGGTACCCCGGTGCCTAACCCCGGCCCACCAACCGCTACCGGCGATCAAGGTCAGCGGCGCACTCAAATGCAGGATCAAGTGCGGGGATACTGTGTTGGAGGAAATTCAAAGAAAAGCTGACGTCGCAGTCATCGGAGTCCGGTTACGGAGGTCATTGTGTTGGCGTTAAGCTTGGATTTGATGTCGCTCTCGAGAAATAGAGGGTTCGGTCGCTCAGGGGTCGCTTACAGCTGAGAAGGTTCTGGCGATCGTGCGGCTCACTCCGCTGCCTTATTCCGGCCATTTGAGAAGAAGACAATCTGCTTGATTGACAATCATTTGAAAGGCAGCTTCCAAATGAGCTGCAGGGCTCCTCAAACATAAGCCATTCGTGCTGGCTTAAGTTCTGCGAGAGAATACGGTCTTGAGAAAGATACGGCTTGGCCTCAGCTCTCATGTAATAACCCTCTAGATGAAAGCCCTCAAAAGAGTGTGACTGCATCGAGGACCAACGGGGCTCGCTATGGTTGATTGCGGGTCGTAGCGTACTCGCCGCTACTGTGGCTTTTCGTTCGGAAGCATGCTATTATGCTCCTATGCAAGCTTGCCAGAATAATAACGTCCGCCTTTTCGGTCGTTCCGCAGGCGTTTGTGGAATTGGAGCTGCAAGCGTCTTCCCCGTGCGGTGCTGGTATAACAACGACCCCCAGGGGCGCTACGTGTGCTGCAATAACCAGGGGTGCGACGGTAAGACGTTACCAAGCGGCTTTCTTATTTGACGGACACAGAGTGGATAACAATGTTTTAGCTACTGTAGATGGTAGATCTGGACGGCGCTTTCGGTCAGATCGTGACTGGCAGGACGAGAATTTCAATGGAGCTCCTATCCAACGATATCACAACGACCTCCAGTGGCGCTTATGTGTGCTGCGATAGCCAGGGATGCGAAGGTAAGGCGTCATCAAACGGCTTTCTTATTTGACGAACACACGATGTCCAACAGCTTTTTAGCTAAATGGTAGATCGAGACGGCACGTTCGGCTAGATTGACTGTCGGGGACAGAGTTACAGTTGAGCTCCTATCTAACGGTATCACAACGACCTCCAGGGGCGCTACGTGTGTCGTGATAACCAGGGATGCGACGGGAAGGCGTCGCGGCAATCCACGCTTTCTTTCGTTGCGGACAACGCTAAGAAAGGGTTTGTCGGACCGTCAGACTCGAACCCAGACCCTGACGTTGAGATACTTTTTGATTGAGGAAGAAATTACCTGACGTAGAAAGAGGATCTCTTCAAGAAGGGATTCTGTTGACGAGATAGACACACTTTTGGACGGCGCTTCCGAACATTCTGACTGAGCCGAGATTCCAGACTAACATATGCATTTCAGGGGCTTTCATGAGAATCACATTCGGACTGCCCAGAATTTATGCCTAGCTGCCCTGTCCGAGAAAGACCTTTTCAGAGGTCCCAAAAGTTAGATACTCCCTATCAGTCCTACTTGCGCTAGGTTGATACTCGCTTGTTGGATCCTCTCTTCTTGAGGTGGGCAGAAGCTGAATGACCTGCACTCCAAGCATGGTCTTTCTGGCTTTACCGTCGCGCTTCGGATCCATTCAAAATCTTACGTCAGACTGACAGCGCAGTTCGAGCTCGACTCCCAAGTAGGCGATTGCAAGCATTCTGCTCTTACGTGTGGGCCCCTTGGAAACTGACTCTTAAGTTGCGCGCAGGTTTCAACCCTCCCGACTACGTTCTCCCCCACTGCAAGAACAACGGGTATGTGCCTCCCGGAATCTGAGGACAAAATGTTCAGAACAGCTCGATTATTGAGATGACCGGAAAGAAGGGGATTCTCAGTCTTGAGTCTCCGGTAGCAAGCGGCTTCTTAATCAAGTAAACTCGGCTTACTGCACGTAGGCTTCTTGTGTGTGTAGAGTATTTACCTGACCAGCAGGTTGAAAGAATCTTCAGGTCGGAAGTCGTCACAGTCTCACTTGCGGGCCACCGTCCCAACCAGAGAGCGTTTTGGTTAACAGCTAAACCTCTAACGAAATAAATCTGTTATACTTGTAGTATAGATTTGAGACGGTGTACCTATATAGAGATTGAAGCCGTATAGGCGGCCGCCTACTAATCTGGCACCATGATTCTTACAAACGGGTGTCAAGGAGAACTCTGTACGTTATAGACTATTGGCCCTTGTGTGCGTTCCACCCGGCCTGCTATGCAGTACTGAAAACAGCTTGACAGGCCCATCGTTACGGCATGCCAAACTAGCAGGTGGTTTCAAGAAAACCTCGGGCCCTGGTCCTGGCATGCTATGATGCAACACCTTTCAATGCAGCATGACTGGCATTGAGTTGGTGTTCAGCTTAAAGTTGCAAAATATTATATGGATATTCCGCATGCATCTTACTTCCATGAGCGCGGCGGCGCGGCCAAGCTTAGCTCCTCTGCTCTGGCCGCGGGCATGCAACGTCAGTGTCCGTCCGACGCGCCTAGCTTGCAAGCGGCCAGAACTTACCGTCCTGAAGAGACGCGGCGGCGGCGTCGATATATACAATTGAATTCACCAGCGCGAGGTCACTAGTACTTCTATTATACTGGCCATAGCACTAACTCTAACTGGCGCGGCACGCGCGCCACACTGGGATCGACGGTTTGCATTTGAACTAACGGCGTTCATCATTACGTACATGCAGAAGGTAAACATATGTCCCTATATAAATACAATGCTTCGCGTACAAACAGCCCTTCTTAGTGCAGCTAGGCCTGCGCCGCGGGCTTGATTCAAACTTGCATGAGCGGCCGGAGAGTACGGTTTTCGGGGGTTACGCAGTCAAGACTGAAGACACGTCGGTACCTATCTCCAAAGCCTGCCTGAAGCCGGCAAATTGTTAGATCAGTGATGGTCCGACACATTAGTACTAGCTCACTTATCGACGTACAATGGTATACCTAGCAGTACATGCAGCTGCTAGTAGAGCAACTTACTTCAAAGATGCAACTAGGGATTAACAACTCAATCACTCGCTAGAAACAATCAGTTTCTTACTCCGCACTGCTGGTTACTCACTACCACAAAGTGTGTAACAGTCACCCTACAGTCGGGAGTCAACTCGCTAAAAATATCCTTCTAGACATGGGCCTATCCTACACAACTCTTCTATTTCTGCACCGTTGCTTCTCTCGATCTGTACTCCGTTGAGCTCAGTCTGCAATAGCGGCAAGACTATGCGACCTGCTTTCAACAACTATTCTACAAAACGGTGACTCAACGAACTTCGCCACTACGCTGCAGCCGGGATCGAGAGCCCGCTACGGCATACAAGTTACAAATCCGTGATCACTCAACTACGACATCTGCAAAGCTCAATTGAGCTTGAACCAATGGCAGTCTTTCGCGGAGCTCCTGAGCAAACGAGTGCGAAAGACGGCCTGCTGCTCCGGCGTCTTCAAGCAACGCGGCACCTTATACTGAGCCGTGTCGGTGCCCTTTTCCACTTTCCAGGCCCTGAATTCGTCGAACGCTCCCCTCTTCACTAAGCAGATTTCGGCCGTGCCTATTTGCGCTCGCAGTCTATAATGTACGTAATCCGGGTTCTTCTGCAGAGACGCATCGAAAGCATCCGCACAGGCGCCCAGAATTTCTTCCATGACCGTTTCTTCATTTCCGTTGACTTCAACGAAAACGGAATACCGCTCAGGATCTGCTTCCGTATCGATCGCAACAGTGTAATCCAAAACTCTGCCGCTTTCCGCCGGCAACCACTTTTCCATCTCCCCAATTGCAACCGCTAAATCCTTTTCTGTTACCTTCTCAGGCTTGGCGGTTATCGTCAACATCCCCCGGCGGTACTCATACTGCACCTGCGGCAACCCGTGCCAAAACCCGGTCACCTTAACCACGTCCTCTAACCCGTAACGGTACAGCCCCGACACGTTCGTCAGCACGAGTTCGTAGCTCCTTGCCTCCTCTAGTTCGTGCAAAAGCTTGGTTACCGGTTCATCGCCCTCGGCTTGGTCCAACGGAATGAACTCCCAGAAGACCGCTCGGGGAATGATGGTATAAGCAACATCTCGTGGGTGGGTTTTGAGATCGAGGCAGACCCCGATCGTCGACGGTTCGCTGGCGGCATAAAAGGGCGTGAGAAGCTGCACGGAAGGACCTGCGGGGGGGAGAGGAGAACGTCAAATACTGGACCGGAAGCAGAACGGAACCGGAATCGATCGGAATGAGCACGTTTGGCCGGCATGAGACGTTGCACGGAGGGACCTGCCAGGGAAGAGCGGAGAACTCTACACGAAAGAAGTGGATGCGAAAGTGGACTGGAACTATGAACGACGAAAATGGATGCGAAAGTGGATTGCAATGGGACTGAGAAGCGCTGGCTTCGTAGAAGGGCGTGGAATGTGCTCAGGCAAGGTTGGCGGAACGGAGATTTGCCAAATGAAGGACCGGAATCTAGAGGCAAAGCGCACCGGAACGAGATTCTCAGGCCGGCGGGTCCATTTCAGGGCAGAGAATATTTTGGTGGATGACGACTCGTTGGAGCGTAGCAGGGCGTGAAAGGGCAGACGGCGGTTCGACGAAGGAGGACGTCCACGTACAGCGGAACGGAAGGTAAGAACGGAATGCAAGGAGCGGATCGAAACCGCTGCTCGGTAGGTACTGTTGAACTAGAAAAGGGGGAGTGCAAGGAACCGGTGTTATCGGTAAGGGCGCGAGGAGCTACACGGTCGAACCTGCGACGAACTAAAGAGGTGCGGAGGACAGGAACGGAAGCACGAAGCAAATTTGACACAGCAACACAACCAGAATCTGCACAGCCGGACCTGTAGCGAAACGGAAGAACGTGACACAGAAACCGAAGTCGTACGGAAACAGATACTCTTCAACGCTTCAGCAGGGCTCGACTCGAAAGGCTCCGTACTTTGATCAGAGGGGATGCAAGACTTCGTAGAAGCAACAGGACAGCAGAGCTTGAAAACGGCCAGAAAGCAAACGTGACTTTTCAGCGAAAGAATAGAAGACGGAAAGGCGGGCAAATTGGAAACTGACGCAGGCGAAAGGCAACTCTCGAAGCAAGGTGCCTGTTTCAGAGCTAGTCAACGTCGTTTGTACTCTGCGAACGTCTGCCAATGCGACCACTTTAGAATGCAATTCCCACCTGCAAACTTCTCCATCAGCGGTACGTACTGCAGCATGCTCCCGGTACACACCGCCTGGACCGAGTACACCGCCGGGAAGACGCGTGGCAAGATTCCGTCGAAGCCCCGCCGGAATTCCGCCTCGAGAGCGGAAGCGCCCTCGGGCTGCGCGCGCACTTTCTTCTCGACCGCGGACCGGAGAGCGCTCTCGGGTACCATGTCCGGGTTGACCGTGCCGTTGCGGAGATCGCTGACTAAGCTGCAGTTGAGAATAAAACCTATTAAGAGCACGGCAGAGTGTCAACATAAAGGCAAATGCCGGTCCGAGTTATTGGATCTGGTCGCTTGAGGCCTCGAAACCCGAAATGCTACGTCTTTGCTTGGTCTCGATGAGGGTTTGCAGCTGGCAATTATGGTTTTGCTTCGACGGACAGAAAGGAAGACGAGAACCTCAGTCGAGAGACGCCGGCCCTAGAACAAGCACTACAGATTGCCCGGTGATCGATGAACGGTTCAGAAACCGAACAGAACAGCTTTACCACTCAGAGATTTGATAGGACCTTCAAGCAAAACCGCTGACTCGCGCAGCTTCGAATCATATGCTTGCAGTAGAGTAAAACAGCATATGTAAATGAAGCTCAAACCGAACCAACACGTTGAGTTGGATCTCCAACGGGGTACGGCTGTTGAGAAACTATGTATCATCAAACAGACGACGAAATCGACGTCGATCTACTGCTGGTAATTGAGAATAGCCTCGCCTTATGCGGTTATTCCTCATCCTAAGGACGCGAATCCACTCTCAGGCCCAAGCACCAACGAGGCGCCGTCGTGTATTCGCCCAACGGCGCACTCTGTTGCAGAACCGGAAACACTCTGGTCTTGAAAGTTTGCCTCAACAAGACCGAACCTGACTCTTCCTCACGCTTCTCCTGGAGCCCACTGTTCGAGACGTTGGAAATATACCATATCGGAAAGATCTCAATGTCTCGTTTTCTCGCGCAAACAAGCATGCAGCAAACGCAAGCCGGCCAAAAGGACGGGACGCGCGCTTGCGCTCGAGATCGCTCCGGAATCCGCTCCGCTTGCTCTCTTGTAGCTGCAGTTTCGAGACGACGGTTTGCGAAACTGTGACACTTGGAAACGGCGGCACAAAGGAAAGCACTTGGCAATATTTTAAAGCCGCAAAGAAGACAAAAATGATTCCCTCTCACCTCTGCTAGTGCATCTTTAAAAAATGCACCCCTGACACAACATGGATCAGAATACTTTTGCGCGTAGCGCCATCACGCTCGTCTGACGGGGTTTGGCTGCTAAGCAGACTTTCAACGGTGGTTAGCAGCCAAAACTGGAGCAAACTGGATAAAAAGAAAGAACATCCCGCTTTCTCACCTCTGCCAGTGCTTTTCCAGGAACTGCACCCCCAACAAGACGTGGATCAGGTAGTTCGCGCGCAGCGCCGTCATGTGCTCGTGACAAAGTCTGCATTCTTTGTCTTGCTGTGTAATTGGAAAAGTTCGGCAGCAACGGTGAAAATAAAGAATACACCTGTCCTCACCTCTCCCAGTGCTTTTCTAGGAACTGCACCCCCGACAGAATGTGGATCAAGAAGTTCGCGGGCAGTGCCGTCACGCTCTTCTGACAGGGTTTGCAGATTTGTAACAATGGTTAACAGCCAAAACTGGAGCAGCAAAGAATAACGAAAGAACCTCTTCTATCTCACCTCTGCCAGTGCTTCTCCAAGAACTGCACCCCCGACACGACGTGGATCAGAAAGCTCGCGCGCAGCGTCGTCACGCGCTCGTCACGGAGTCTGTGTTGAAAACTTGGAAAACAATGATGCAAAAGAAGAAAACATCTGTTCTCACCTCTGCCAGTGCTTCTCCAGGAACTGCACCCCCGACAGAATGTGGATCAGAAAGTTTGCGCGCAGCGCCGTCACGCGCTCGCGCCCCGCCAGCCCGCACAGCAGGTGGCAGTACATCGCCTGCCGCGCGTCGATCGTCGCAAACACTTCCTTGGGGCTCAGCGTTTTCGCCAGCTCCAACGTTTCAAAGTTCTTCAGATGCGGCGGAGCCCGAGAGTGGTGCCGCTTCCGGCGGTGAGCCCTCCGGGCAGCGGCGTCTCGGGGCCGACGTGGACGAAAGCTAGGATGACGTCCTGGGGTTTGTCACCGTATTGCCTGCCGGACATGACGTCACGGGAAACGTCAGTGTACGGGATGCCAGTTCGCTGGAATACTCACGAATTTAACAGGTCTCCAGGAAAGGTTTCTCGGCTGACGTCGGACGAAGGTCAGGATGACCTGGGGCTTATCACCGTATTGCCTGCAAGAGATGACGTCACGGGAAACATCAGCCTGCTGATTACCAGAGAGTAGGGACACTGAGAACGTTTGACTACCTGTCGAGAAACAAAAGGTTTCTCGAACGCGGACGAAGGTTAGGATGACCTGGGGCTTGTCACCGGATTGCCTGCAAGAGTGACGTCACGGGAAACGTCAGCCTGTTGGCTACGAGACTGTGGAACACTGATGTCAGATGGATTCAGTTTCCGAAAGCCGAGGTATCCGGCCGACGGAGGCGAAGATTAGGATGACCTGGGGCTTGTCGCCAGTAGTGCCTGCCGGAGTGACTTCACGTTGTGCGTCAAGTGAGAGGTCAACGTCATTGCATGAATGTAAGCAATAGCTCTGTCGGGCAATCTGGGAAACATCTTGTTTTGGAGAGAGGTTTCTAAGGGGACGGGCGGAAGGGACGACATACTTGAGATACCCGACGGTACTGACCAGAATACACTTGAGGTCGAGGAAAGCTTCAGCTTCATCGAAAGGGAGCAATGACGGATTTCACGGAGGAGAATCTTGAACCCGGCAAAGAAGCTCAAGGTCACCTGAAGCTTGTCGATGCCGAACCTGGTCTGGGGTGGCATCACGGCTTCAACAAATGCAGCAAGTCGGCCTTTTCAGACCCCTTGGAGTCTAACGCGAGACCTACTTATGCCCGATGGAATCCAGCGAGGATTGAGGTTACTCAGTGGCATTGCCACTCAACAACTATGTCAAAACCAGGGCCGACTGCTGCCAGTTGCCTTGAAGTCTATAAGCGCTGGCCTGTTGTAATTCTGAACTCAAAGATCGAAGAAGCAGAGCAGACAATAACAAGACTACTCAAGGAAAGTCGATTGGTTTTGCGAGTTAGCTCTCCGCTCGGACAGAAAGTTGTAATCCTTCCGCTTCAAACTTCTTGCATGGGCATGAAAGTTCAGGGTGCGGTGTCTCACTTCTGCATGATCTCCTCAAAGAGGTTAAAGGGCATTGCATTGCGCATCATGGATCCCGCTGTTTTCAGAATCCTTTTTTGGGTGCCTTTGGAGCTGCCCGACCTGAAAATAGAAAAAGCCAAGGTTCTGTCCAATCACCAAAGCTGAATAGAATATTATTGAAGGAGTAGTCTAAGATTCGAGGCGCACGTTTCTACATACCGGCGTGAGAATGGCAACTCCACTCAAGGCGCACTTTGTTCACAGGCGCGGTATGGTTGAAACTTGTATCCAACTGATATCATTTTCTTGCAGCAAAGTACGAAGTCGACAAAGTGTGATTGCTTCTCACATGACATGAGAGTGGAAGCACAGAGCAGAAATAGGACTGCTGGTACCTTGACAATATAACAATAACAATATTTTGATCAACTTACATGTCAGTCCTGGGGTCGCAGTTTGTTGATCCAAAAACGAAGGCACTGCTGCCTTTGAACAATTACAGCGCTTGCCACAGCTGCATCTTGTACAAGATCATTTAGCCGCTCTTTGATCTCTCGACTCCACTAGAAGTTGCAAACTTACAGATTACGCGTCTTCAGCTGGGTTGTCAGGTGCATAGATAGATGATACTTTCAAAAAGCAGACGACGTGTGATTGGCATTTGATGATAGGTTGGTCTACTTACGTGAGCATGTACCCAACAATCGGCTCAGCACACAAGATCTGCTTCCCAGTCTCCCTGCTCTCGCCGGCCACCTCCCGCTCAATGTACTCAGCATAGTCCTCATAACGAGTCACGGGGTGGCGTCTCCGAAACTCTTCCACACTCGTTGAACCGTTGATCTCATACCTGACAGGACAGACGAGACCTCTTTGAAAACTGACATTCAGCCGATGGTCAGGTGCCAGTGTTTCGCTTCGTACTTGTTCCTCAGCAAGCCAACTAGACACTTAGAGCTCCAACTTAGCCCTGCAGACTGTAGCAGGAAGGAATTCCCGGGGAGTTTTGGCCCATCTGCCACCAATCAAAGGAGAACCTCTTCGGACGAGACCACTCCTTCCCAAATGCTACTAGCCTTGAAGGTGAAGGCCAGAGCCTAAGGGAGAACTCTCCTCAAAGTACGTGCGAAAGGCGTTTCCTACCCCCATCGGCATCTATTCGCTAGATAAAGCTAGCTAGAGCTTGCCAATGTCTGCAATCAACACCATTTCGAAGCACGTTGACAATCTTTAACGTCCTTGATCAACATCGGGCAGGCCCTGTCTTGTAGTAGGCTCACGTAAAGTCAAGGTGGCATTGAGTGGCCAACCTAGTCAACAACCATACTTGTTGCTTTAAAGATGCAACAGATGTGCATGTTCACGGTTCTCTTCTCGCACAAGCTATGAATCTGAAGCAAACAACAAATTAGAAGCATAACGTTCTTGAGCATATGGTCCATTGTTTGAGTGCGTCACTCCAGAGATACGAGTGCTCCATTATGGTCAAGGATTGGAAAACAATCATCCAGATTGCAAGCCATCCGCAATGGAAACCTCTGATCAACCAAGGCACTTCGCCATTCTGCATACTTTTGTGCCACAATTAGGAGAAGCTTGCAAGTCAGCCTCCGTCATTGCTTACTTGTTCAGATACTCAGTCTTTTCGTGCAGCTTCAAAGTTTCTCGAAGCGCTCTTCCCTGCACTGACTGGACATTGTTTCCGTCTGCCTCCAGCTCCGCTAGACCGTATGGTGGGAACGGGCTAGTCTGACCAGTCAACCCATGTGAGTTGGCCTCTTTGTCAATGGACAGCGCTTCTTTTGACTTCTTTTTGGAAGCTGGACTGCTGGGACGACCACTGGAGTTCTGATCAGAAGGCTTTTCTTGTAGTCCCTCCTTTGCTTCTCTGGCGGCATTGTTGTTAGAAGTTACTTTCTCATTAACAAAGTTATCTGAGGGTCTCTCAGCAACTGCAGAAGCGGCAACCATAGTGGTGCGTATTCACACACTCCGCTGTACAGCTTGCGCTTAGTTCCAAGCACCTGCCGCCGTAGGCTGGCCGCAGACTGTGCAGGGCGCCCGGATGTCTGAGTAAAACACCCAGCACTTTGGAGTGGTGGCACAGCTGGGAGAGACGGCCTGACAAAAGCGGGATATGGACCCTGTGGATGCGCTTCTAGTGCATTTGATCAGGTAGAAGCGCTCTTCCTAGGGACCGTGGCAGAAGCTAGCCGGCTGACAAGAAGATGACACGCCCAATACTGGACTAGCTACGTCCTGACTTGCTCCTTCCCACTTTCCAGAGGCTGAGCCTATCTCCATCATGCAGATATCCTGAACTTGTGGAGCAACAGTGCCAACAGTGCGTCAGCTCTTTTCAAACAGCATGCCCATGCCAGAGGGGGAAGTTTAAAAGGCTAGTCACGTTAATGTTGTCGATATAAGGTCGCAGACTCGACAAACTTCTCGTCATTGAACTTTTTAAGCTTCCCCCTTCAACTATTAAATGATATCAGATATCTGGGCAGGCTGCTCGCAAAGAGTGGCTGGAGGGAGGCTCGAAAAGACCAACTCTGAGCCGTCCGATAGATTCAACTCGGTGGTTAGCAACTTAGCACCGTCCATTGTCCAGGTGCACTCGCGAGTGCAGACGCCCACTTTAAACGATGGCCTCATACCTACCGGTAGTAGCCTATTACCTAGGCTAGGAGCGAAGCACACAACCAGAAGCACTGCAGTAGTCAGCATTTTTTCGAGATCAGGTCGCAAGAGAAGGCAATCAGCATGTTTTCTACAAGCAGCATTGCTCCTGGAAGCTTCAACACCCTAACAGATCTGTGTCTTTCCAGCAAACGTCCTTCGCATGCACTTAAATGCATGCAAGGAAGGTCTCAAACCGCTCAGACGGCTTTTGGCGCGCAGTTTTCCTTAGAGTTTCAAGCTGGCTGGAGGTCTGCCCGTCCCTCCTGCATTAAAGCAGGCTCTCGTTTGTCTTCTTCAGCTGCTTTTATCAAGAAAAGATGCAATCGTAGTTGGGTGCAATCAGACGAGCGATTGCTTGGTGGGTTTGAGTTTGGACGGCAAGGGGACCTTCTTACAAGAGTGTTGAGAAACACAGAAAGGTTGAAGTACGCAGAAACCCGCGGTAGGAGAACTAGCATGGGGAGCACAAGAGCTGCAGCCACTGGCTCCAAGGACGACAACATTCTGCTAGTGGGGGCAACAGGGGGAACTGGCGGGTAGGGCCACTTATAGCTGACCCATCATACCCGAACCGAGTGTTTTGCTGGAGTTGGTAGCTGCATGCATTGCAGGTGTTGCGGAGTTGGCAGAATATTCAGCGGTTTCATTTTGTGCTCAGAATTGGAATGGAGACAAAGCTGTACTTCGGGAGTGTGATCACCTGTCAGTGAAATGTACAGGAAGGAATGCAACATTGGGCTACATGTTCAAGATTCCAGTTCACACCACATTGAGTTTGTCAATTGAGTTTGTGCTGCCGTTGATGTAAGGGAACTAGCTGCACCTTGGTGGACTTGTTACTGCCAGGCACGGCGCCACAATGCAAGCTAAGCAATTAGGATACCTTCTGATGCCATCAAATAGTCAAAAGGGGAGTACAGTCAGCTGGGGCATTACTTCTCTTGGGAGTGAAAAGTCTTTAAGATCTTATGATTTGATTTTTGAACCTTTGCTCCGTTTTGTCTGCAGCTCAGTTTTGGACGGCCTCCTTGCGTCCGGCATATCCAGCGCCTCCTTGCACGTGCTGTCAAGGAACCCAACCGGGAAGGGGGCGCAAGCATTGGCCACCAGGGGGGTCCATGTGGTGACTGGGGACTTGGATGACGAGGCGTCTGTTAGAGAAGCAATGAAAGGTTTGCAACAGTCTGCAACAGCCAAGGAATCAGGCAAAATGTGAAGAGAGATGTTCTAGCATTGCCAGCTCAGCAGTTTGAAGGATGACAAATGAACAAGGGGAAGGATGTTTTCTTAGGAGGAATGGACGTGATCGTACTGTTTTGTTCTAAAGCCTCCATGGAATATTTGTAGTTTTCAGAGACCTGAAAGAGGAGGCATCTGTGCAAAAAGGGGGTAAAAAGTTCAAATCCTGACCGCACGATTGTATTAGATGAAGGTATGTTTTCGGATTGTGTTTCTGGTATGTCGACGATGTCCATGTTCTCGACTTGATGTGTCTATAGAAGCTTGAGAAAGTGCGTCAATAATTACCTGTGTCCCGTTGATGAAGCTTGCAAACTCCTCCCAGTATCTTGTTGCCCTAATTCGAACCCACACTTTCGGGTACGAACTTTAGCCCGAGGATGTGCTTTGCAGGTTCATTTTACTAGGATTACCGATCCACTTCACGAGAAGGTGTGCCTGAACACACAAAGCATCAAACCGAAAGGATTTTTCAGGTCTTTCTTTGTCATGGCAAGTGAAAACTGACGTTTCTTGATGGTGCAGGCATGCGTGCTGTGTACTGTCATGCCACGAGTAAGGACGCGGCCAAAGCGGACCCGATCGGCGACATACGGGCCGAGAAGCTGGCGCGCGCCGCAAAGGATGCGGGCATTGAGCACATAGTCTACAACAGCTCTGGTGGGTGTTTCAGCTTTGACGTGAAGTCCCGTTGTGCACCCACTAAAGCCACCTGGTTGTTGGATCCTTTTTCGTTTGCCCCGTTACTCATTTCAGCAGGTTCAAGTTCATTGACTACGATCGTGATATATGGCCCTTCGACCTGGAACAAAGCTTTGGTGCTGAAGAAAGTGTGAGCATCTGGGGCATGATCAGGAAAAACGGACAACACTCAGCTATAGCGTTGGTTCTTCAGTCGACAAATAAAAATAATGTAAATCAGGAGGTATGCAAAAGGTGTCGCCTTCGCCTTTATGTCGTCCTCGTGCTTTAAGAACACTTTCAGATGAACCAAAGTACCACACAAAACCTAGCCGAAGTCTCCTAGCCTTCAGCTGGATGTGAACTCAATAATCGATGTGAGTTCATTTGAGGGGTCGACGAATTTTATTGCAGATGGTCGGGGCGTAAAAGCAAACAGCTTTCAACGACCAGAAGGACGACGTGGAAAACATTTCAGGAATGCTTTTTCAGTGAAGAATCCGGAATGATCACGCGTGAATGCCCTCTCTCAAGCGATCAGGGCGCAAGTACATCATATCTCAGGTCGACCAAATCCATCGCATCGGAAAGTCTCTCTTGTGTTGGTTCATGCGAATTTCTCTTCGGGGCGCCAAACACGAAGGTTTCTCACGTCGACTAGAAGCGCCATGTTGAGGCATCCCCTTGACCCATTCGTGCACAGGAAAGACAGCTTACAAGGTGTGCGCTTATTTTTGTACAAATAGACCACATTTTGAGGTGTGAATACCCTCTTCCAGGCGGTCGGGGCGCCAACACGAAGATCTCGCAGGTCGACCAGAAGCACCACATCGAGGACATCTTCGTCGAATCGGGTATTCCCACCACCAACCTGCAGGCGGTGCTCTTCATGGAGGAGTTTTGGAAGGTGACGACGCGGCCGGCGATTCAAAAGGTGAGCATCTTCTGAGGTTTCAACAGAACTTTCCTTAGGATTGAGGTTGGTGGAGGTTTAGGAAGGAGAGAGGCACCTGAGAAGAATTGCTATTCATGGGGGAGTTGTGGGATGTCGCAACGGGGACAGCCAGGGTACAAGTGAGGTTTTGTGACGTCTCAGCAGTTTGTTCTCAGGATTGGGTGGGGCTTGAAGGAGGTTAAGCGAAGGAGGAAGGGAACGATCCGAATTGCAAGCGTACTTTATGGACGACTTTGAACTGTCCGGGGGCGGCCGGCCAATCAGAGACTGAGCCTTTTCACGCTTTCAGTTGATCTTCCCTCAGGACTAAGTTCGGGGGGAAGGAAGGTCCAGCATATGAGGAAAGGAAGAAGCGGAAAGAAAAGCGTGATATTCAAAACATAATTGGTCGCCCAAAGCCGAGCCGTTTGCAAGGTTGAGCCTTTTGATAACGGAAGTTTCTCGTTCCAGAACCGCGATCGGCAGTAAGGGAAGGCTGGACAGGGAAAAAAACAGAATTTCGGAAGGTCGCGATGCATTCGGCCGTTCTCACGACTGGGCCAGGCTCTTCGGGCAGGGTTCGGAGGAACGATCGCAAAGGGTGGGAGGCAAGGAAGGGCGTACATGGACTTCTGGAGCTTATCGAAATTCTGAGAAATCACCACTCGGCGGGTTGACGTCACCTGAGCATTTGTTGCAAAGCCTAAGGGTCTTCTTCTCATCTGGCCGCTCCCTAAAAGTGCTGTCTGCTTCACCACTGAGCTCCGGTTGGCCTGCGAAGAAACAAACGGAGTCGTGACAATCTTTGCTAGCGTGTCCAGTTGCTCGTAGTCCGTGTGACGTCAGCCGACAAGTAACGCGGCTCGGATTAAAATATCCCCGAAGAGCAGAGTATGCCCTTGAGGATCGCCCAACTCTAACACGGTGTCTAGGTTACTCAATCAGCATAATGGCAGCCAGTGTCAGGAGGACCGCTCACAGCTCAAGTGCAGCGAACCGAACCCCGAGGAGTATGACGTCAGCAATGTTAGTGGCAATCTTAATCTTTACACGCCTCATTCGTACTGCAGGGAACATTTCCGTTTAGCATGCCCGCCGACAAACCCCTTCAGCTATTAGCGGTTAAAGACATGGGCCGGGCTGCGGGGACCGCTCTTCTGAAGGTGAGCCGTTGAACGGAGGAACCAGGCAAATGCTAAGAGACGGATTCGACGGCCAACTTTGCTGTTCTGAGAATTGTCTCTTCGAGGGAAATTATGCGGATGCTGAGAGCCCGGGGTCGAAGGTCAGCGTCAGTACAGTCGCACAAGGGTCTGCAAGTGAAAACTCTGATGCGAAACTTCCTGGATCAGTGTTGAAAAGGAGGTTGAGATACGACTTGTCGAAAGGTGTTTTGCGTTATGGTTGAATGCGGGCAGGGTGTTCTGGACCTTTTTTGCGTTCCGTTGACGCTCGTCCGCTGATGCAGCCGGAAGAGTACGCCGGAAAGTCGCTCGAGTTGGCCGGCGACGAGTTGACGCCACGTCAGCTGTGCGAGGAATTCTCACTTGCGCAAGGGGGATCCCCCGTCAAGCAGCTCAGCCTGCCGCGGTTCCTGTTCTGGTTCTTGAACAAGTGAGTGTCTTCCATACTGTGTCTTCTTCGTCTTCCGCTTTGCCCGTTTTGCACGCCAATGAGCTTCCAATCTGCAACCGTTTTGTTGGTTCGTCTTGTCTTGAAGGAGTGGATATTGAAGGAGTGAGCCAATCGCAGGGTGACGTGTGTCAGATAATCTGATGATGCCAGATGACCGGAGAAATGAGCTTGATGAACCAGCTCCATCTGCCGCACCTTTGTTCTGAACCGGCCTGGGCCAATCACTGAATGCCACGTGGAAGCCAAACCTTACGACCCCGTTCCAGTTTGCCCCTCCCCTTCCGGCTCGGTTCCTGACCGATTGTGAAAAGAAGCTCAGCCTGCCGCGATTCTCCGTAGGAGTCTGACCATTAGATAAGCGACACGTATCACGACATTTTCACAAAGAAAAAGCGTCCGTCAAGTACCTCAGCTTGCCGCAATTGTCCTCTTTCGAAGGGGTGTCCGATCACGACGGGACCACATTGAGACATGACTTCTGCTAAGTAGCTCGGCTTCTGCTCTTGATACGAAGAGAACGTGGTTCTGCGGTTTATCTGCTCACCATTTTCCAGTGATCCAAAATAAACATCTCGTAACAAATTCTTGAGCATACTTTCAGTCTATGATTCGAGCAGCGTTCAGAGCTTTTTGCCACACCCTTGTCCAGAAGTCAACTTCGTCTTATCTGAGCGTAACGTAGTTTGAACCAGCCCAACGCAGCCCAACCCAGCCTAGCCTAATCCATAATCTCGTGCTTCATCGCAGGGACTTGTTTCGAATCATCAAGTTCCTGGCGGAGACCGGATATTCCGCGGAAATCGACGACTGCCGGGCGCGTTTCCCGGGCATGCTGACGTTCCGGGAGTTTCTAAAGCTCACAGATTGGGGCAACTCCAAACGGACGTACGAAGGAGGCTTCCGATACTGAACCTTTCGTTCAAACCAGTAGGCGATTGACACGCGGCAATGATGAGTTGCGGAGTTGGCCTGTCCCAGCTAAGCCAGAGGATAACTGATTTTGACACTGTAAGATATGTATTATATCGTGATTACGTTTCGGAAGCCGGGCTCACAAGCGAGCTCTGTCAGTGTGCTCCCACTGGACTCTACGAGAAGCGATTATTGGCTTGGCAGACGTCGGTAAGACGTGTTCGTGTCGGGCCGCCACCAGTCGAAGCAATGGTTCATCTAACGAACCAGCCGCGCTTTGAAGGCAGCATCCTCTTAACGGTTCAATGTAAGCTGGGTTTCTGACATGCGCCCGGCCATGACTTACAGCCGGCCGAAAGCAAACGATGGACAGGCCCGGATGCTCAGCATTGATTCTTGAAAGCGATTCAGCAACTGAAACATGCGAGCCGCCCCATTATTAGCTAGCTGTAGGCTGGCCCGATACAACCGGCCAACTTTCAGTGGGACCGCTGACGATCGAAAGATTCCGCTACTGGTGATCCGACACGATCATTGCATGCGTTGGCTCTGCATGATTGGTTTCCCCTAGCCTCCCAATCAAATATTAGTATAGAATATTGATTACAACGGGCCGGGCCGGCTCAGTCACCGTGACCAATGACCCTCTTATATGATTCAATCTCGTAACGTAAATGGTAAGTGCAATTAATATAGAATGGCACACCACTATGGTGTAGCTGACTCAGTGAGGGCCACCGTGACATGGCGTTAATTATCGAATAGCATACTGAGACTCAGCTTGGATTAAAAATTAATTTGGATAACATGTCGATCAAAAAGGGTCGGAGAGATGCAGCAGAGAGCCATCATGCGCTTCGCTATGAATGCTCTGTCGGAGGCCGCGCGCAGTCGATGTCATTTGCATGATTGCTGCTGTTAATGCCAGCCTTGCGTTACTTGGTATATTCTCTAGTGTTGGTGCAAGCCGTCACTGTGGGACGTACTACAGCGCTGTAGTGCACCCAATGCGTAAAGACTTCGATAACTCTCGTGTGACCTAAGAGCCGTGTGACCTAAGATAGGCACCCGGAGGACGGGTGGGGTTGGTACGGTGGTTAGGGTGGGTTGGGGTGCGGAGCGGGTGATTAATTGGGTTAGAATTTTAGTTTGAAGTGCCCGGGTTACTCGTATCTTAGGTCACACGCCCGTTAGGTCACACGAGAGTTACCGGTATTGCGTAAAGAGGCCCGCAGCATTTGCAATCTAGGCGCCTGCCTTTGCACCGCGCGCCGCGGGCATGACTAAAACCTCAGGCTGTATCAAGATCCATGCACGAATCTGCTAAGTTTGTCTTCGAATCCGCTCAACTCGTCTAGGACATCAAACAGAACACTTCCTCTCGTATTTGTCATCGAACAGAATCAGGTTGTCTATTCGAGATCAAATAGCAAAGTTTATCCGCCTACTCGTTCTAGCCCTACTGTTGCCGCGTTCGCGTCGGTTCGCAAGCGTGCTCGTTTCTTGTATTATTGAAAGTGCGAACAACTGGGGACTTCTGACGCTATCCGGTCCAACCGGCCATGTGAACGGCCCATGGGTAGTATCCCAGCAGATTGACCTGATAATTACGTTTGTACAAATATTACTACCTTATTATTGTATCTAATACAGCAGTAATACTTGATGCTCATGTTTCAGCTATGCCCAGGGTTACTAGATTGTCATCCGCTGCTAGTTACTCATTCAAATCAAAGGCTACCTCGCGTGATCGTGTAGGAAGTCACAGTCGCCTGGCGAACAACGACTCGCATAGTCGATCGTTCAGCCGTCCGATCAGCGTCCTCGCTTTCAGAACCGTCCGATTCCGCCACCACAAAAGTGGACATCGTCGCGTGACCCATCTCCCTCTTCCGGCTCTTGAGCCGCATCAGTTTCTTTTGACCGACCGCGTCGAAGAAACCCTGTGCTCCAGCGTCGGGGTCCTCTTCGACGACGAAACTTGACAGCATCGACCCGCCCGAATCTTTCCGACGGCTCTTCATCCGGATCAACTGCTTACCCGCGATGCTATCCCGCATGCCGCCCTCTTCCGCTGTTCCGCTTGCCCGCGTTCCTTTTCTGGTCGCGGGCTCATGTCCAACAGAACGGCTGCCAACTCCTTCGCCCGTCCTCGAGGCCTCCTCCTGGATCTCGCCTTTGTTATGCCGCCCTTCTAGTTCTTTCCCATTTCCAAAATGTGCGTGCTTCTTTCCGTTTTTGGCTTTCCTATGTTGACCCCTTTGGACACTTTCGCGAGCTTCCGAACCCGACCCACCTTTCTTTTCTCCTGTTCCCAGCCCACCAACCGATTTCAACCTCCTGTTCAGATCCCGATTTTTCCCGCCCTTCTCGTTTTTGCCGCGGGGCGTTCCTTCGGAGAAGCTCTCAACCGGCGAGTCTAAGGCGGCTTCTGCTCGTGGAGACATCCCTGATTTTCCGCTAAGGCTCCCTCCTTTTTGTTCCCTCTTCCGGCCAGTCAGCATTCTCATCAACCGCCCACTTTGCGAAGTCGGACGTCCGCCTGAGGCCTCTCCTCCGTCCGAACGACTTCCCGCACGCGAAGAATGTGGTGACGTCAGCGCACTCGCCCTTAGGTTCCCTTCTCCCCGGTCCCTCTGCCGGCCAGTCGGCATTCTCATCAACCGCCCACTTTGCGACTCCTGACATCCGACCGGGACTTCTCCTTCGTCCGGTAGCCGTCCCTTACGCGAAGACTTTGGTGACGTCAGCGCACTCCCCCTGCCGCCTCGCCGCTTCTCATCTGCCGCTCGCTCCCTGTCGCGTCTTCTCCGAGTCCTTCCGAGTTCTTCCGCGACGAGGGAACCATTCGATCCCAGGTCCTTCCGCTTTTCCGTTCGATACACCTGCTTCCATCCTTCCTCTCGGCTGCAGTCCGGCAACACCCGCCTGTGCAGGGACCGTCTAACCCGTTTCGAACCTCGGTTGACAGCGTTTAACCGCCCCTCCCGCCACCATAACCAGCCCGCTCTTAACTCCGTAAACGCCGCCCAGCATTGGTAACCCATCTGCCCCGCCACCGCGAGCAGCTGGAGCGCGAGCATCGCGTTTCCGAGGGTGCGCGCGCTCACGGGTGCCGCCTCCGCGGCCGCGGCCGCGCGCGCCGATTGTAGCGCAAAACTCAGCGTGAGAACCTCCAGCAGGGCGGCCGCGGTCTCGGCGCCCTGCACCCCTCTGCTGACGTAAGGCTTGCCGACCAAGAGCCAGATGAGGTAAGCGAGCGATGTTACCAGCAGCCCCCCGGCTTGCCACGTGGCGGACCCAGAAGCTGCCACGTGACTTCCCAGGAGCGCGCCGAAGATTAGGCGCTTGGTGAGCAGAGCGCCCACGTGGCACGTCCGCAGCATTCGGACGAGGTCCCGAAGCGCGCGCGCCACATGGGGAAGAAACCGTGCGAGCCGGCTGCCAAGAGGCGCTTTGATCTGGTTTGCGGACGGTCTGATCTGATCTCTTGACAGCGCGACCTCGTTGTCGGACGCTGTGATCTCGTGGTCGGACGCTATGATCATGGTTTTGGACGCTATGATCTCGTGTTCGGACCCTATGACCTTGTTACTGGGCGCGACCGTGTTTTCAGACACCGCTGGCGGCGACTCGGGTGGGCGGAACGGATGGAAGAGCGGACCGAACCGTTCGAGCGGGAGGAAACGAGAGTGGCGGCATCGCGACATCTCAACCCACCGCCCGGGACAACGGCGGCCGAACAGGGCCGTCCAGACGAACCGCCGCCACGTCCGCTTTCCAGCGGGGAGTCGATCTCGGTTGAGTACGACTCGGGTTCCCTGGAGGAATTCAGAAGTACTCTCAGCAAGACGGCAAGCTTTGACACATGCTTAAGTCTCTTCTCAATCCGCGTAGAAAGATGACTGTCTAGATTACTTGTGCTTGTCTGATGTACTTAGCGGAGCCGTTTCGGATGTTAAGTGTCACAGATCTGGATGCACAAAAGGTACTGTCTAATAGTGTAACCACTATAAAGTCACAAGAGGTCCCAAGAGCGTGGAAGCAGACTTCGGAGGAAAGTGTCCTTCAGCCCGCCCATCTTCTTATTCGAATCATGATCGGCTGGTACAGCGCTTTTTAAGCATCCGGCCGGTTTGAAGCAGAGAAGGAAGTCTAAAACTTAGACGGGTAAGTTAGTCATGTCTCAATGTAACGTCAACTAACTTCGAGTAGCTTTTTGAGCTTCCCTCATTATCTAGATGTGGCAGGTTGCTCGCAAAGAGCTGTATCCTGTGCGCAATCGGGCATCGAAAGCAAACAGGAAGGCCCCTACTTACGACCCCGAACTTCCTGCCAAAGCGGTATCGAAAACCTGGAAAGAGGTCAACACGCACGGAAAGAGCTGAAAATGAAAACTGGTTCGATACTCACCGGTAGGACTTGCATGCCCAGGAACAAAAGAATCGCAACGATGGCCCCGCAAGGGGCGACAATCAGCAGTACGGCGCCGAGGAAGACCTTTGCGGCAGAACTGCCTGCACGGCGCAGGAGGGAAGGTCGAAATTTTGAGCGGAGATTGAGTTGCAAGCTAGGTCAGCCACCTTTTGTTTCTACTCTAGGACGAAAAGGCAGGGTAAATGACGCGTAGGTTTTCAGTGTAGGATACGAGAACCTCAGTGACTCTTGAACTGTTTTGAACAAGAAATATGGCGCATGCATTGAAGGAGCGATTGAAAAGCGAAGTTCTAGCTCTCAGTTTCCTGATATAATTCATACGGACTCTACTAGCAATGGTTTTAGAGCCTTTCGAAGTAACACAACGACGGGGTATTTCGATTCCGATCGATGTAGTGAACAATAATAGCCAGCGAACAGTAATGGGGACGGGTAGGGTTTAGGTAGGTGGTTAGGGTGGGTACGGGTGCGGAGCGGGTGATCTTTTAGGTTAGGGTTTGTGGTGACCCAAAAATTCTTCTGTTCACTGGGCTTGCTGTTCACTAGATCAAAAAACTCGGAATCTTGGGTCTCTTCAAGATTCTGTCCATCGTTCCTGGCTCTATGCGGTATCATCGAAGACGTTTCCTTTTGCCAGGGCATCATGAAAGTGCTAACAGCTTCCAAACATCAATAAGTTTTGGATGAAAAACAGATTGTCTGGTACCCGCAGTTTCGTCTTTTACTGCCCCAGGGCTCACTGAAAGCCTGCCACCATATATTCCCTCCCCTTACCTGCCATAAGCGCGGAGCACGCCTGCGTATACGCGTAGAAGCATGCAAACGCGACCAGTATTTCCACCCTGGGGAAGAGGAGGGGTGCCGGCAACCGGGCGCTCATAAAGCGCCGCCATGCGAGCGCGAGCAATGCGCGCGCAAAGATAGCCGCGCCCAACGCGGCCGCGACGCGAAAGAAGACGAGGCCCGAGACGCTGGTGCTGTAAGAAAGAACAAGGTTCTCAATTGGTTTATTCTGCTACTATATAATAAGCCACGGACGTTCAATATAAACCCGACCTCCGCCAATGTATCCGGCTTTAAGCGACAGACCAGCTACGAATTATTGAAAGCATCGCCGGGGGAAAGTTTCTTTGCTTGACTTGATGAATAAGGACAGGTCGTATTGAGCGCGCAGACTGCCTTTTTGACAATAAATGCAAAGCATGCTCCTTAGCGGCCGTTCAAAGCACCCACAACTCCTCTGAACCATCTGACCCAAACTTCACTAGCAGCGCCTTCCGAGTAGGTCTGTGGATTACGAATAGATGTGGACTCCCGCCTTACATAAGAACACACAACTATAACATTTTGAGGCGACAGGGAAGCACAAAATCCCTCCCTTCGGTCGCCGCATTTCGGACTCGCGGACAAGCCCTCACCTAGAAGAGCTGGCCACAGCGGACTGGAAAGATGCTGGCGCCGGAGCCGGAGCCGGAACCCAGGCCGGAGCCGGAACCGGAATTACCGTTCCGTTCAGCTCCAAGAGCCGCCGACCGGAGGCAGCTGGTGGGGTTCCGTTGGCTCCGGTCGCCTCCGCGGAATCGGGAGCAAAATCAGTCCTCTGGCTGGGTTGACTCTCCAGGTTCTGCAGACAGATCGACGGTCTTCGTGTTGAGGCAGACCATGGAAAGAATCGTTATTTTCCACAACTAGACAAAGAGCGCTTGAGAACGGCAGGGCTGTTTAGTATGGGTGCCATACCCCATGCGAGGCGTCTTTAGCCTGTCAGCAAGACATCAAGAAGCAGCGAGAAATCTGAATTCGCTGTGTCCTCCTTCTTTTCGACGCTTCCAAAATTTCCGAGGGGATGAACAAGCTTCTCGGAAAGAGAATCCCTTTCAGATACATGAGCCGCGAAAGGAATGGAACAACAACAAAAAGAAAACTGAAGATGGATATAGAAATCCGTATCTACTCACCACCCACGCTAGGCTTCCCGCAACCCTCGAGAAAGCCTCCGACTGCGGAGTGCCCAGCTTTCGAAGCAGCGCGAACGTCTGCACGGTTCCGATCACCCCGACCATGTTGCCCCTAGCGACATGGGCGGTGCGACTGCCCGGTAGACCTGGGCAGAGATGGTTCAAGAGAGTGAGACAAGTCTTGGTTTCTGTAAGAAAGCCCTAATGTCACAGGGAGGGGGAAACTGAATGAAAAGGGCGGGGAACTGAGAACGAGAACCGCGACGAGCACTGGCGTTGAGAAAGAGGGCGTCAAATATAGCAGGTTCAGACCGTACGTTGTCAGTTGCATGCCACCGATACTGCCAGGCATACGTCGTTTAGAAACTACAAGTATTCCTCCGTACGTACGTTAAGCGTATCAGGTGACTGGTCTTTTGGGTGCCATGCTTGTACCGTACCTGGAAAACCGCGCAAGTGGGCAACCAAAGCCGGGAAAACCGCTGCGACGGAGAGGCCAGTTGTCGCCGCGAGGCCGCCCGCGATGAGAGTGGATCCGCGGGCGATGTTCGCGGTCGATGCGGCTGAGACGGTGCCTGCAAACGGGGTGGAATGTTGTAGACGGGTTTAAGGGTCTTGGGATTCAAGATTTTCAGGGGGTTCTGAGACCTGGGTCTCTGAGAACGTTCTGAGGGACTTGAGACTTGAAAGAAGGGTTAAGACGTTTTCGCACATGACTAAGATTTCGGATAATCAGATCTTTAGAAGCTTGCAATTGTTTCGCAATCAAGGTCCTGATTGCATCTCTGACATGATTCGAAGACGCAGTTCCTGTATGCATCGAATCGTGATCGACTCTAAGAGAGAGCGAAAAGACACACTTGTACATTTAGCGAAAACAGCACATACAACCCATGGAAAGAAAGCACATTTGGAGAGGGAGGTTCTCTATTTTTTTTTTAACTCACCAAACTCAACGACCAGAGTCTCCGAAGCGGCGTTTGGGTTTCCGGCGAAGTCCGTCATCGCACCCGCTGCAATCCAAACCCGCCCCTCTGATTCGCTCCCGCTGACGTCACTCATGACCAGTGTTACCATGTAACTGACGCCATCCGCTTGAGCCGAGACGTCCGTTACGGTGCACCCATCGGTTGACACTTGGCGAGCTTCAAAGGCCCCGTAAACCACATGTGACTCGCCCGCTTGTTCAGACAACTCTACGACTCGTTCGCTGAATCGCACAACTATGTACAAACTGTCAGCGTCTACGTGGCTCCGTGTGAGGCTGACATGTGGCGCCTCCGTGTCAAATACAACGGCGAAATTGTTCGAGCGGCTGTTCGGAACTCCTGCCGCATCCACGCATATGCCGGGTGGGATCGTAATAGTCACCAAACCATTTCGCGACGGTCGAATCTGGAAGTAGAAAGCTGAGGCTGAGACGGTTTTTCCTGGAGCGTCAAGCGAAACCAAAGCGGTGCTTGTTCCGCTGGGTGAGAGACCAGGTGAGGCCGCCAGAAAAATTCCGCCGGAACCCGTTCCGTTGGGAGCCGGAATGAGCCCCTGGGCGCGCCCGCCGTCCACTACGATTCCGCTTACGTTGAACCCGCTGACGCTTCTTCCGAAGTCGACCAGAAACGGAACAGGGGATTTGTTCGCAGCCCATGCCACGCCCGTTCCGTTCGTTCCGCTCGCTCCGCCGTCCGGTGGGACCTCGACCGGAACAAGATCGACGGCTGTCAGCACCGGCAGGGGCGGAAGCGCTTCGAAAAGGACCAAAATGCTAGCGGCGGAGTTGGGGTTTCCCGCGGCGTCCAGGCAAACTCCCGAGGGTATACTTATGTCGATCTGCCCATCGCCTATCGATGCCACGTCCAGCGTATACCCCACCTCTCCCAAGGAACGGAGGCTCGCTGGATCTGGGACGGCTGCTCCGCTCAGGACGAGTTCGCATGACGTCACACTGACGCACGAGAAGCCGTAGCACGCCTTGCTGAAGTTGATGGTGACAGGGAATGGGTTCCGGCCGACTAGAACGGAAGCCGGCGGAACGATCTGGACTTCCGGGCCCACGAGGTCGATAACCCAGGAGTAAATGTACTTAGCGCTAACCCCGAGCGGGTTAGTAAAAGTAACGGCGGCCGCGTGTGCGCCCGCGTTCAGGGCCGCAAAGGGAAGTAACGCCAGGCTGGGGTCCGGGCCGGCGTTACAGGCGAACGGCGCCTGTCCGTCGAGGGAGCAGAGAGCGACGCACTCAGCGCAGTCGGCTGAATCTTCGTTCCCCCGGGCTGAGAATGAGACTAACCCGTCTGCTAAGTTGGTCGGGTTAGGGGGGCGGCTTATGAGCTCAATAACCGGGGGCCGCCTATCGACGGTCCACTTGTAGACCGCCGGGGTTAGCGCCTGGTTACCCGCTTGGTCAACGGAGACGGCGGAAAACACGTGGTTTGTGACGTCGTTGTCCGTTCCTAAGTCGGTTAAGGTAACCAGGTTATCGCACCGGGTTAATGGGCCCCAGTCTAGGGAGCACAGAAACGTGCACTGAAGGCAGTCAGTGAAGTTTGCTCCGGTCGCGTCGGTCGCGGAGAGGCGAAAAGTGGCGGTTGGAGAACTAGAGAGGGGAGGAGGAGCGTCGGAGATGGTAGCGGTCGGGGGGATCGTGTCGACGATCCACCTGGAAAAGGAAAGCGCAAGTTGTGTTCGTAGTTGACGGCTTACAAGCTTTTCCTGTTTAAATCGGGGTCACAGATCAGCGCAACAAACCGGTTGCCTTGCCTGGATGGATGAGATGACCAAAAGGCCATGAGTAGGTCAGTATGAACGATTGCAGTGTCGAACTCGAGAGGGGTGTATTTTATCGGTGAATCGACATGTCGCTGAATAACAACTTGGTCATCTGGTCATGAAGCAACAAGATTTTGATTCCGTAAGTTTCCCTAACGGACGGAAAACTGGACTTAGGAGACTTGATTGGGCATTCAGAAAGGATTAGTGTGATTCTCATTGAACGTTTCGGAGCCACCTGGACCCATATTTAGACCTATTGATTCCTTTGTCCTGTGGATTCAAGAGGGCAACGGCACGACGTATATGCGGAAATCGAACATCACGCACACCGAATCACCCAAGCTTCAACACTTCTGTCAGCTTCTTTGTGTGTCAGACAGCCGTTGGTAAAAGCCTGCCAGTTGTATTGGTTCCCGTTTGAAACCAATGATGTTGAAAATCTGCTTTACGCGAGCGAAGTGAATACTAGCTGGATCAGCCGTCAAAAGCCAAGGACGTCTGCTTTGCAGAAACGTGGCACTCACTGGTAGGGCGCGGACAATGTGGACACTCCTCGGGTGTCCGTCACTTTGACCGTCAGACTCTGCGGCCCCTGCCTCAGCCCCAACAGCTTCACCGGCGTGCTGACGTCACACGCCGTGAACGGGTCGTCGTTCAGCTGACACGCGTACGTACACGTGGCGCACGGCTTGTTCTCCACGTAGCCCATGAACGTCAGCACGGCGTCGCTGACGTTGACGGCGGCGAACGCGGGCGGGCCTGACGTCACCTCGCTGAGCGGCAGGCTGAAATTGACCCGCCACGTGTACGAAGTGGGGGCGCCCACATTGCCGAACACGTCCTCCGCGCTAACCGCGAAAGTGTGAACACCCTCGTAGAGGTTGGTGTAAATTGCCCCTGCCCGCGGGTCGCAGTCCCGGGGGGCGCTTCCGTCGAGAGAGCAGCGGAAAAGGCATCCCGGGCAGGGGTCGGCGGAAACGGAACTCGGCGCAAAGGAAACGGCGGTGTATTTGAAGGTCGCGTTCGGGAGCGCCGTCAGGTTGGGAGGTTTATACGCAATGCTAACGTCAGGCCCGACTAACACGGCGGTCCAAGGGTAGGTTAGGGTCGAGGTTAGCACGCCGTCTGGATCGGTGGTCACGAGTCGGAAGGAGTGCGCGCCGTTGGTCAGGTTTCTGCGCGAGCGAGGACGTGTGTAAGAAACAAGCGGGTGGCTAACTTGGAACATTACAAGTATGAAAGAGTCCCTTGTTCACTTCGGAAAGCGCCAAGAATTCTAGCTAAGTCTTTGCGGAAACAGAGACAGGTGCAAGAAAGCGGCTCGACAAGTCGCGATTGTCGATTGCATCGATTTGCTAAAAGGAGGGTTCAGGATTTTTGCAAGAACAAGGATTAGCAAGAAGGAGGGTTCATGGGCTTTCCCTGTCAAGTAAGCTAAGCGGGAAAAGAAAGACGCAGAGTCGGATTCAGAATCACCTGTATTCGATCCCGGCACCGTTAGAAGACCCCTGAGAGCACGGCTGGCTCTTCATCTGGTCGACTTGGCACTGAAAGGTGCAGTTCGCGCATCGAGCTTGAGACCCCGCGATCGACGCGAAGAACTGGAAGCGCGCGTAGCTGGAACCGGTCACGGCAACCGGGGCGAACGTGAGCTGCGCTTTGGGCGGTGTGGTGTCGATCTGAAAACAAGAATAGATCTCATTAGACTGAGGTATATCAATTGAGATGATTCCTGCTTGTCTAATTTTCCGTTCGACGAAAGGCCAACAGAGTGAATGCTGAAAGGCATTTGCAGGGGGTTTTCAGATTCGTTGTGCGGACAGGAGTTCATTCAAATGTGGCCTGAGAAAAGGACTATGAATTCTTCATAATCTGCAATCTCAGCTTGGCGGAGCGACATTGAAAAGCCCGGAGCCAAAGTTTCGAGTTTCATTCTAATTGAAAGACTCTTCTTGTCTCTCTGCACGGAGTCTTCAGAGACACACTAGCTAGATACCTTGTCAAACCATACCTCCGAAGCTTATTGGGACTTCTTCGCAAGGTGGAAAAATTTGCAACGAGTGAAACTCATATGCCAACGAACAGCACTCGAAGCTACCTTGGCGCACGCCGAGTACCCACAGAATAATTGCGAGGCCTTGAGTTTCTTCTCTTCCTTCGTCAAGCCCTACGAAATCAAGCCTTCAAACTAAAGTACGATTCCAGGCCCTTTTCACGACCTCTTCGGTCTCGGGATCTGCATCTGAGACCGCCTAAAACGCAGGACCTTTGATTTTTATTGTAAAAGACAAGGTTGTGATTCTGATTTTTGGGTTAAAATGACAGAGGGGCCCTAAACCGGCGGTTTTGACTTACCGTGAAGCTGAACTGCGTAAAGTTGGGCTCCTGATTTCCGGCCACATCGAGACTCCTGCCCGAGAACGTGTGCTGCCCCGGTTGCAAAAAGTAGGTTAACGGTTGCCCCGGAAAACACGAAAATATCGGCCCCGAGTCCATATTGCACTCAGAAACGCAACCCGAGCACTCGGCGAACCCCCCTCCCGGAATCGGGTCTCGGACGGTTAGGTTAAGAACCACGTTTTGGACGCTGGTCGGACGGTTCGTGGGCACGTTTGCGGTTATGCTCGTAACCGGGGGGTGATTATCGATGACCCAGGCGAAGGTCGCGGTCGGGGAGAGGTAACCGAGGGGGCTGAAAGCGCTGACTTGGAAGCTGTGTGCGCCTTCCGGAACGCTGGTGACGTCAACCGAGTGCGTAACAGGGTTAGGGGTACCCGGGTTAACGAAAACGCAGGGGCCGGGGGCGGCTGAGTCGAGCGCGCAGTAGAAGGTGCAGTCGGTACAAGTCGTTCCGGTCGCATCCGTCGCGGAAAACGCAAACCGAGCGGAGCTGTCCTTGGTCGGGGAACGGGGCCCCGAGGAAAAGAGGACAGTCGGGCCAAGGTTAGTCCTAACCGGGGGCGGTAACCTACCGGGGTCGGGGGGCGGCTTCGAGAAAGACGCAGGAGGGACCGGGGTAGGGATTACCGGGGGGGACTGCGGCGCTTGTAAGCTTATGCTATAAACCGTGCTGTTAACCTCGTTCTCTGACTTCACTCTGATCTGTAGCACGGAACCTCCGTAAAGAACCGTGACGGCTTGGTTAACCGCCCCCCTTTGGAGCTTTCCGGTTCCGGCCGTGATCGAGGCAGCGGAATCCGTGGCGACCGCTGCCAGGGTGGCAGGGATCCCTCCCGAATCGAAGCTGGCGGTGTAACTGAGGACGGTCGGTGTGAATGGGGGCGAGAGAGTGCCCGGGGAAATGGAGAGCGACTGGAGGGAGGAGTCCGCGCCTTGAAGGAAAAACATGCGGAAGAAGTAGGCCGTGCTTGTGACGCCGTCCGATGCCTGCAAGAGAGGCGTCTGTCTTCTATTCCTGTCTTTCGCATTTGTGGTCTTCAAGTACGCTGCTATTCACTATTTTCCTTCTTTTCCTTGTTTTTCTTTGGCGGAATAGCGTTGGAGCTCTGCATTGCGTATCTTAACCAAATCAGCCGCTATGGGAAATCCAACATGAGACCATGTCCAAGAGCTTCTTCATTTGAGACGCGGACGTCGACATAAGCTAGAAACACACGGGTTTATATATTCAAGACCATAGGCTCGACGAAACTCTTATAGAAGGGACTTACCGTTATACAAAGAGGGTCGGAAAAGAGGCACCCTGACTGCAGCTGTAACATTAAGGCAGCCGGTATTCGCCGAAACGGCAATCGACTTTGAGATGCATCTCTGGATCCTAGGACACTTTTTGGAATGTGTGTCCGACATTCGAGAGGGTTTCTATTTCGTAGCTGGACTTTGCAAGAAACATACGAGTTCAGGCAATTTTGCAGCCAACCATCAGCAACCCACCGTAACAGTCAGCGTCAAGATGCCGCTCGACACCGCCGCCAGCGGAACGGATTCCGTTCCGCTGATGATCCGCTCGCTGCTTCCGGAAGGCACCGTCGCGATCATGAGCGCTCTAGGATCGGCCGGGGTCGCAACAATCGTCATCGAAAAGGCGCCTTTGGTAAGGAAGACGGCGTATTGGGTGCCTGAAGGTGCGTAGATTGCTCAGACTTCCACAGGGGGGGCGGGGGGAACTGGGGGAAATTTTCAGAGAACAAGGAACAGCTTCGAGCGCGTGCCTGACAGATTTGATACTAGGGATTTTGGGCTTTGGGTGAAACAATCTCAGGGAAGAGGAATACGTGGCAATGGAGGCAAGGTCAAGGGTCAGATTTCGAAGATCAGGCAGTTTTCTCAGGAACCTTAATCGGGTTCTGCGCCCCTGCGCCGCGCGAGACGACGGGTTTGGGAGATGTTGTTACTGATAAATAAGTTCTGTTGATTGATAGCGCCGGCGAAGCTGAAAAGGAAAAGAGCGAGGAACGCACTCTTGAGCCAACTCGTTTGCTTTCAGTGAAGCCTTCGGCATACTGTAGTACGACTCAAAAAAAAATCATCAAGAGGTGCCGGAAAAATCGGGTCTGAAAGAGATCGTTGTAATTGGGAACAACAGTACGCAGGGTTCTAGAGCTGGGCGTGTACCGTAGAAATTCCCTTGCTGTCAGGAACCTGGAGTTTATTATCGTCGGAACTGATATCGAAGCGGCTTACAGTTATCAGAAGGTTTTCGCTTTGCATCAACTTCAACTTCAGGATCGGATTTCTTGATGCTATTTGTGCCGTGTGGCGGGCCACAAATGTTTTCGCAGCATCGAGTGGCTAACTGAATCTGCAACTCCTTTTCATTAAAGGTTCAAGTGAAGGCACACCACACAAAAACAAAGCTCCCCGTGTCTGAACGACCGTCCTAAATGATAGGTTGCGTCGATCGTACCTGCTGACGTGAAGGGCGGGAAGACGACCCCCGACACGTCGAAGCTCACAAGGCTCGAGTCTGTAACGACCGGGGGTGGAGCCGGGGGGGGTGATGAAGGAGGAGGGGAATATGGCGGGGGCGGGTTTCTGAGGGGGGGGAGGTTTGGTGGAGGAAAGGCTGGGGGAGGGGGTAATTCGGCGGAGGGGAGACGAGGGGGGGATAAAGGTGGGGCGCCCGGGGGGGGTTTGGAGGGAGGAGGTGGGTTCGGGGGTGGCGGCGGGTTTGGTGGAGGGAA